AGATTGTATATCAGTATACCCTTCCAGGCTCTGAAGAAGGCGATACTGCCGAAACGTCAGCTAGCGTTGTATTGTATTGCTTATTTCCATCAAAAACTATTCATAAACATACCACAGTGATAACGTTATTTGCTAGGGCCTTCAAAATTGGGTAACAGTTTTCGCCTATCTTCAGAACTCGAATACCGTCTGCGATAGTGTCTACTACATCTCGTTCAGTCCTCAGTTCACCTTTTTGGAGATAAGTAGCCAGATCTTTGCCTTGGGGTTCAACTAAGAACACTGAAATCATTGATGCAAAGCTTTATTGTAATACATATTAACAAATGATATATCAAACCTTTGATATCTGGCCGAATTTCCGTCACATATGCAACAACCCCGCTTGCCATCCCACCTCCACCTACGGCCAAAAATATTGCGTCTACATCCGGTGACTGCTCAATTATTTCTGCAGCAAGGGTACCCTAAGTAATTACGTTTCCTAACCTAACTGATCATAACCAATAGCATCAGATTTAAATTCTTTCAATGGCTAACGAGAGGTAAAATACCAGAGCAACTTACTTGCCCACACATCACATTAGGGTCGTCGAAAGGCTCTACTACGTAAAAATTGAGATCTCCAGCTATTCGTGCGCATGTATCCTCCCTGAAACACGATGCTCTATTTCTGAATCTTCAACAAAATCTTAAAAACACCCATTGATCGAGAAGTCAATTTTTTACGCTACAAGTGATACTTCCTATTGTGTAAATCCAACTTACGGAGCACAAGTATTAAACTAGATGTTTCTCCCTTACTGCACTAATAAATATTTAGCTCACAATAGGTTAAGAAGTTTCATAAAGACGAAAGGGTTCACTATCAGCCTTCTGAGAAATATGATTACTCAAACTTGATCATTGAATGATTTGTACAATTAAACTGCTTTAACTGCTGCAAACCATTTAAAAACATTTAGATAGCACCTCCTTCATACCTGCTCTTCACCGTTGGATCACACAATTCCAGCTTAGCTCCATACTCTACCATTGCTTCCATTTTTGACGGAGGAGCATTCCTCGGAACAGCCACGTAACACGGCAGTCCGACTTCTGAAGCAGCCCAAGCCAAACCCTGACCATGGTTGCCGGACGAATGAGTGACCCAAAATGAATTAACTCCTTCAGTGATCAAAAGATGACGAAATAAGAAAAATCCAGAACTACTTTCTCAGACGCCGACATAGAAATTCCATTACCTAGTACTATGCGCTCATTAATGTTCTCAAGACTTCTCATTTTGGTACAATATGAACAGGATGTATACTAAACAAGAACACCTCAAAAGCCTCATCGAGAGTAACAGAAATTTTATTTTGACTAAAATATTAGCTTACTACTAAAACAGACCCCAAGAAATATCTAGAAGGCAGGACTTTAATAAGAAGGAAAATTAATTTTATCAAAGGTTATCCATCAATCCTTCCAACGGTTTACTGCCTCATCGTGGCTGGCAGGTGTTTCTGGATAGCGTGCTGCGATGTACGGCGGGAGGACTATTCTCCAGCAGGGTCTCCCAAGTTGAGAAGAACTCCGGCGTTTCCATCAGGAAGACCAGCTAAGAGTAAACCAGTACCAGGATCCGTCACCGTCCTGATACCAAACTGGTCGCGTGATGGCAAATCTCGCTCTGATCGACAAGAGCGCCGACTGCCTGCGGCGGTGATGACCTGGGGCTGGAGCAGGCTTTGACTAGGCTGACCTTGACACTCCTGGGACCACAATGGCTAAACCAGCGAAACTCCGAAAAAACAGAAATTAGTCTGAGTCCGGCACAAACAATGAGAACGGGCCATCTAAGTATTCAAGTAAGTATCCATCAATACAATTCATACCACTCCACAAATCGCTTGCTTTTCCTTCGCTTTTTGCACGGCATTTAGTGCTCCTCGTGCTTTGAAGCTACCAGTTTTCTGCAGATGTTCGCACTTCATAAACACCTGACATCCTGCAAGAGAAAAGATCACAGTGGCTTGACAATTTCCAAATGTTTTACTAGAGTAAAGCTCCACTCCTCATATGCGCAATGTTCTTCCAAATTATGCAGAACTTGGAACTGAGAACCAAAAACACTTCCCCCATAAACTTTTGCTCTTACAAATTCATTTGCCACACAATACTCTGCCACAGCAGGCAATAGCACTGTGCAAAGTGAAAATACTTTTAGGCAGGAAACTCCGAGTACATGGTTGTAAACAATTGGGGCAAGTAGTAATACATTTCTGCAGCAACATTTAAAAGTAGCCAACCAACAACACCGTGTTATTTTTCAAGAGCATGGTGAACTGCTGAACAAAATTTCTAAAATAACATGTCTTTTTCTTAATACTCACAAAGTACCGTGAAGTGCCAGTTCTGTGAACTTGTTCCCTAAACTATGCTTTCATACAAATGATCGACATTATTAACCAAATTTATAATGCCTCATGATAACAATGTTGGTCATAAGATATTTACCCTAAACAAAATGTAAACTACTTTTTGCAAGGCTCTATCCCTTACTAGGAATCGAATTCTGTTGTCAACAGCTTCTTTAAACCAAGATCGAAAATATTTCTATTCACCATAAACCAGTACGATTTACAATGTTAACTTTTTCTTTATTGCCTATCGTTTTTTCATGGCAGGGTGCGATATGAAATATAACTGCAACGATACTCAGATATTTGCAAAACTCCGGACCGCTGGTGTCTGCGGTAGGGATCGAACACGTTATTACCCTTTCCGGGGGTAACTAGTTCACCATAACACCATGCGGGAGTTTGTTACGGCCCGTAGTTTTGCAAATATCTCTGCATAATTGTGGCAGTATGATTTGGTTACGCATAGATGGATTACAAAATTCCATACAGATGATAAGACAAGAGTGGTTTCATTCCGCTATGAACTGGGATTAAGAAAAAGCCGATTGAAGAGAAAGAGAGAGAAGAGAAAAACGCCTCGGCAGGAGTACAAAAGGGATAAAGTTCTCGTCGCCGATCAATCCCTGAAGGATGTATCACGGGTTCGACTTTATTAAGTATCGTTAGACATGACTGAATGCATATCTTGCCATAATAATAACTCGATGTAGCGAGCCAGTGCTGCTATCCTCCCAGACAAGTATAGTACCAATTTGCCGAACCCCGGAGGGACGGAGGGTGTCGTGAGCCTGGGGCGCGGGGATCGACCCATGTGTATTGCAGAGCGTCTCTGACGACTGCTCTAAAGGCGCCCTCTTTTGAACAAAAAAGAGATACTGGGTGTTATAAGCAGTGAAAACACTAAAACAGCGCTTTTTAACTACGATGAAATCGTCTTTCTGAATTATCAAAGTGTAGGCAAAGACGTTCCTGGCACATAATTTAGACCTGAACACGTTTTTTTTAGCAAACCGTTCGTACATAAGGAACTATTTTCCCGTACCAGCAATCCGATCAATGCTCCTGCACGTGATGATCGGGGTCTCATGGATTCTTCCAGCAAATCTTTTCCGTGCTTCGGTTACATCTTCGGCACAAACTGCCATCTGCAAATAAGATTCCATCACTGACCATAAACTATCTCTTGATACTAAAATAGAATATGTCATTGAACTAGACAAGTCTCTGAAAGTTAAGGGTCATACAGAAGTTTATTCAAACAAGAACTGCACAAAATAACTTACAACAAATCAATAACGACCTATTAACAAGGTTAAGAAGTGCTACACTAGAAGGCAATACTGTTCGCAAAAGCGGCCATAAAGGTTTGCTGTGGTGACATACTGAACGACTAGATGAATTATCAGACTAACTGAAAGAAACGCAAAGCAAGAACCTTCGTGGCGCAGTGTGTAATACGCAAGACCCCGGAAAGGGTAACGATGGTTCGATCTAACTGTGGTCCAATCTTTGCGAATATCTCAGCATCGTTGTGGTTGTATTTCAGACGAGCATTTGTCGGCTTCCTAATCTACTAACGTGACATTAGAATGATAAATTGCTCAGCAATCAGATGAAGCAAAAAGTAGGAACACGTCCTAGAAACAGATGGCTAGTGATAAATAATAAGATAGAGCATGACAACTACCGGTAGGCGACGAATACGATGAAGTGACAACAGTGGGCCGTGTGGAAAGCCCATCAATTGACTCCTCCAGGCTCTAAGGAGGGCGGAACTGCCGAAACGCCTGTCAGTACTGTGCTGAGTAAATCTTGTTGTTAGCAAACCTGTGTTTATTTATCATGAAAACAGTAAAAATGACAACAAGCATAAAAACAATGAAGAATTCCTGATTGTTAAAGCCTTCTAAACGTCCGGCACTGTGAGCAGCGACCATCGGCCAGATGGCTGCCTTTGGAGCGCGTTATTCGGGACTGATTCTATTATGTTAACCTAGTTAACTGCCTGCACAAGTTCACAAGTTTGTGTTTTTTGTGTATAACATATATATTGTTAGAATATCACCTTAGTGACTATCTATTGGTACAAAGGACCCAGCCAGTCTGAATCACGTTTTGATATGGCATATGGGACAATGTTACAACATCAGTATGTCAAAATTTTTTTTTGCTTGCGTGATTCTGCCAGTTGATGGCTATAAACAATCATATTTATATGGCACGAAGCTATAGTTACTATCGTATTAGGAGAAAAACGTTTCTTTGCTCAACGATGCACAGTATTTGATGACGTGACGTCCTTGGGTACTTGGATGGCCCATTATCACTGGTTTTGCGTGCCTCAGCATAATTTCCAGTTTTCTTGGAGTTTTTCTGGTTTAACCATTGTTCTCTGGAGTCCCAAAGTCAGCTAGACCAAAGTCTGCTTCGGGTCTTCATCACCACAGGCAGTTGCCGCCCTTGGGGATCAGAGGGAGATTTGCCACCATGTGACTACTTTGATGCCAGGACAGTGGTGGATTCCGGTATTGGTTTACACTTAGCTGGACTTCTTGATGGAAATGCTGGTCTCCTTCTCAACTCGTGAACTGAAGACTACTGGGAGGATGAATCCCTCCGCTGCACAACACAGCCCGATACCCAGGAACACCTCCAAGCTATGACGAGGCGGCAAACCGTTGGGAGGGCAATACATACTGGATCGATGAATGGTTCGATCTCGCGTTTCGGGCTCACGAAGCCTTTATATCTCAATGGTCGACGTATGGGATCGGGTGGGCACACAGGAGGTTGATAGTACAATATTTATTTCACGATAGATAACGTTTCGGCGAATTTAGCCTTGCTCAGAACCAGGAAAGGTCAACATAATGTGCAATCTACTCAGCCATATATTCGCATAACCTCAATAGAAAATTCTGGAACCTAGATTTCACTCGCAATGAAAACAACTTGTCTAGGATACTCATCGTTTTTATGAATTTTCCACCTGTTCTTTTCTTTGGTCTAGATCGTCCCCCAATGAAGACGTCTAAGACTAAGACCTCGAAATTCCTGCTGGTGAAGAACCTTCCGGGATTCTACTTTCTCAAGCTCCAGTTACGATAGAAAGCATGAAGAGTTATAGGACGCGATAATATTAAAGCAGGCTTTCTTTAAGATGAAAGCCATTAACTGCATGTGTTTCTCACAACCCATACTAGACCATACCTTCAAAGCGGAAAAAATTCTGACCAGTGATGGACGTCGCGCAAGGTGGGCTGACCAAGAAAGATAGTTGAAGGGATCTGTATAACTCTCGTCCGATATATTTGTTCAATGTAATCTACAACCTACTCACGAGGATTGTCATACTGTGCATATTAATGACTCTTGATAAGGCACATACACTTGAACAAGCAAGATTACGACAGGAGCACTGTTGCATGGGACCACACCCAAATTGTATGCAGAGTCACAGACGTCTGTCAGAGGAACCATTTGCCTTTTCCTAATGTTTGTCGACAACGAGAAAGCATTTAAAGACGTTGAAGCGAATGCATTTTTATCAGCGCACATCCACGAAGGAGTAGATCCATCCTAAATAAGAACTTTAGTTGACTATTAACGAAACTCCATTCCAAAAGTACAGCTTTTCTATTACCCTTTCCAATCCCATTGAAAAAGTCTTCGACAAAACGACACTATCTTGCCAAAGTTGATTCCAGCCAAATTTCACTGGATGATGAAGTCGCTCGACTGGGACGAAAAGGTCATGGCTGTTGATGGCAAATCCCAGTCAAATCTCCGTTTCGCCGATGATACTGTCATCTTTTTGAGGTGTTCTCGTGAGGCAGAGACGATACTCAACCAGCATAACGAGGTTAAAACAGGAGTAGACTACGCGGAAATAGGACGAGACCCAGTTCATGAAATACCTACGATACACAGGTGAATAAATTCCAATAGAGGGTTCCCTGATTAGAGACCACCTCGTATATGTGTTTTGGACGTTCAGTGAACATGGAAAACAACATAAGGAAGGAATTGGACAGAAGAAAGATAACAACATGTGCCACATTCAAGCCTTTTAAAGGCTAAATAAATGGGCTGGCCATATAATAAGAACAGATGAGAAATGTATGAAAAGAAGAGTCAAGTGGACTTCGCGACGATGTCTTCTCGGATGGCCTATGTGTCCGTGGCTTGTGTCAACCTTCAGCATTCACAGATGGCAACGATTTCTGGACCGTGAAATATTCTGATTTGATGTCACCATGTTCGAAGCAAGGCATCACCATGCACCATAGGCTACAACTGCGCGAGAAGGAAACGATTAGAAGATGTGCTGATGCCAACTACACGTGAAGACGAGCCACCTAACTGTCCGGCCAAGTAACCAAAGCCAGAAACCCCGGTTTCCAGCTAAATTCTTCAGATATATTCGCTTGAGGAGATGTTTGGGAATTGCACCAAGGACATCTGGGACTATCATCCACTGGAGGGAAGTGAACCGTGTCTGTCTGCATGTCTGCACCAGTAATCAAACATACGACATGTATATATGCAACATGTAGGCTTATTGATAGATCAACAGTGAATATATTTGTCACACATTTTTCATCTGTTTTGTTTATGTTTATGATGGTAGCTGAGTAGGTTCCGTATTGCTCCAATCATTTGCAGGATCTGGAGAAGGCGAAATCTGCCAGAACAAACAATTGCTGGTGTGTCATGATATTGTGTTCTCGGAGTGTTAATAAGGTGTAGAGGGATTGGGAAGCTACCATTAAACAATGAAGAAATACGAACACCGTGTCTAATTTCTTGCTGAACGTTGATCTTCGTCCCTAAAATGTAGCTGTTTAGTTATGCGGCCCTAAATTCGTAGTTTCTCTCTAACAGAGTCTCTATATGTTCCACTATACCACAGTACCATAGTCTTTGTCATAGTCACTATGTGCCACAATAAGTGTACCGGCAATTTTGGGAGATGACGTAGAGATGACTGGGAGCAAAACAAGCGGAAATGGCTCAAAAAGTGTACTGGCCAGAGATGCCGAACCACAATACATGGATGCTCATGAGTTTTGACTCTATAGTTCCCAGGATCGACTTTCTCTTAACTTCGGCATTGGAATATGAATGTGTCGTTTTCTTGTTCAGCTATCGCGAGGTTTTTAAACAGCATACATTTACTTCCATAAAAACACGATACAATACAACGCTAGCTGACATTTCGGCAGTATCGCCTTCTTCAGAGCCGCTTTTTCGTGACTTCCAATGAGGAAGTTTAGAACAGCTGATTATAGTCGCATGTGGTTGACGCAGACGAGTCGTCTTTGGGGACAATTCATATTCAGAGGCTATGCTAAGGGTCATATAGAGGATGAGCGCTTCCTCACCTCTATCATCACGTGAAGCAACTTAACCCACAAATATCTATTTCACTGAGTAATTTTGACACTCATTCACGAGTCCATAGTCTCCACAATTAGTTCATATTAGTAGAGATGTTACCGACAAAGTGATGGCGACACTTTCGCTTGAATTGGGAAGCTAATTGATTATCTAGAGTTCATGTCAATATAAGTGACAATAGGTGACTTGGTTTGAAGACCATGGAGATAGAAATGAGTCGTGCTCCTCGTCCAAGCATTACTGATTCGTTTTAAAGTTCTTCTTGAGTTTCTAATACAAGATGTTTGACCATATTCGAGAGTTTCGATCGGAAAACGGTTACTTCGAGGCAAATCGCGCGTGAGACAACATTCGACAGTTTCGATAGGAAAACGGTTACTTCGAGGCAATTCGTCTGTTAGTCCATATTCGAGAGTTTCGGTCGGAGAACCTTTATTTCGAGGCATTTCGCGTGTTTGACCATATTCGAGAGTTTCGATCGGTAAACGGTTACTTCGAGGCAAATCGCGCGTGAGACAACATTCGACAGTTTCGATAGGAGAACGGTTACTTCGAGGCAATTCGCCTGTTAGACTATATTCGATAGTTTCGATCGGAAAACGGTGACTTCGAGGCAAATCGCCTGTTAGACCACAATCGAGGGTTTCGCTCGGAGAACGGCTTCTTCGCGGTATTTCGAAGATTAGACCATATTGGAGGGTCTAGCTCGGAGAACGGTTACGTGGAGGTATTGCTCGTGTTTGACCATGTTCGAGAGTTCCACTCAGTGAGCAGTTACATCGAGACTTTACGCGTGTTAGAGCATATCCGAGAATTTCACTCTGAGTACTTCAACGGTTTTCGCGTGATATACCATATTCGAGGGTTTCGCTCGGAGAACGGCTTCTTGGTGGCATTTCGAGGGTTAGACCTAATTAGAGGGTTTCGCTCGTGGAGCGGTTACGTGGAGGTAGTGCTCGTGTTAGACCATATTTGAGAGTTCCACTCAGTGTGCGGTTACATCGGGGCTCTTCGCGTGTTAGACCGTATTAGAGGGTTTCGCTCGTGGAGCGGTTACGTGAAGGTATTGCTCGTGTTAGACCATATTCGAGAGTTCCACTCAGTGAGCGGTTACATCGAGGCTTTTTACGTGTTAGAACATATTCGTGGTTTGGCTCGGAGAACTTCTTCTTCGTGGCGTTTCGCTGGTTGGACCATATCTGATGGTTTTGCGCGATTAACGGTTACTTCGTGGCATTTCGGGTGTTAAACCATATTCAAGAATTTCGCTCTGTGAACGGTTACTTCGAGGTTTTCCGCGTGTTGGGCCATATTCGAAAATTTCTATCTGAGAACGCTTACTTTGAGGCAATTTGCGCGTTATGCCATATTGGATAGTTTCGCTGGTCGACATGGAAATTTCGCTCGTGCTAGACCATATTCGAAGATCTGACTCGGAGAAAGGTTACTTCGAGGCTTTTCGCGTGCTTGACCATATTCGGGTTTCGCTCTTCGAACGGTTACATCGTTTTTCGTGTGTTAGAACATATTCAAAAGTTTTCCTCGGAAAGCGGTTACTTCGAGGATTTTCGCGTGTTAGACCGTATTCGAGAGTCTCCCTCGGAGAACGGTTGCTTCCAGCCATTTCGCATGTTTGGCTATATTCGACAGTCTCGCTCGTCGAACTCTTACTTCGAAGAAGTTCGCATGTTTGACCATATTCGAGGGTTTCGCTAGTATAACGGCTACTTCGAGGCATTTCGCGTGTTAGGCCATATTCGAGAGTTTGTTCCGCGATTGATCCTCTACACGCCACCTAGAGACGCGGCGCGCTGCCTCGAGACTAGCCAACATGTGGTCACCTTACGAGGGAGATACGTGATAGCTATGAAGTCACACGCTAATGAGAAATCATCAATTATAACCCAAAGGGAATAGGAGTTGTGGCTGCAGCTGAGAAAAGCGGTAAGTGTATCCTCAACGTGCGAGATGGAAATGATCGCTTTTTGACTAGAATTCGCAACATATTACAGGGAATTAATCTAAAGGTGCAATGAAGACTTGCTACAAGTTACTTAGATTGGGTCGAAAGCTAGAATTATGAGCCAAACGTGCGCGCCTGAGAGAGATCATGGATTTTTCTTAGAAGCTATTACTAGACACAGAGCTTTTCGACATTGAGCAGTCCTTTTGCGCAGATCTCACGTAGTAACAGTGTAAAACATGAGTACCGCATAAAGCGTAATAAACAGCTAATAAATGTCATGTGACGCAAAAACTAAGTTTTTGCTTGCTTTATCCTTTAACAACTTCGATGAAAGATACAAAATAGGGAACTAAGGATAACAAGAATTTTTTTAACCGACTGATCTTAAACCTCGGCGATAATAATAGGTATCCTCTTCGATTACTAACTTAACGCGAAGTTGATAAAAAATTTCTTCGGCTTACATTTCGACAGCTTCATCTTCTTCATAACCGGATTGATCCAAATGGATGGTCTACAGGAGGTCGCCCTCGCGATGTGGTTGTTCGTTGTCACACCAAATCGAATCCATTGAAGTGGAGCACCGATCGAATGAAGCACCTCCATCGGCGGTGCTCCACTTTATTCAATTAGACTCGATGCGACAACGAATAGACAAAATCGTTCTGAAATTTTCCAACCAATAAATGGAAGTCGACGTAAAAGAAACTTATTAGATCGTGAATTAGTTGAAATGATCGCTTGAAAAGACTGCGGACAGAAATAAATTTTAAATTTAAATTCTATTCGGCTAATGTCTCGATACTAAGAAAAAGGCGCCACGTCGGGAAGACGGACAACTGTAGACGATCGACTCGGATCATCGGCTCTCATGAAGAAGACTATGAAACGTTAGCCGAATAAACATGTTTATCAACTTCACGCAAGATGAACAATTTAAGCACATTTTGATTACTTTAATAGCGGAGTTAAATGATGATCAATTTGAAAATCACAAATTTTAGTTATCCTACATGAAAGACAGTGTTCAACATGATGACAATCAGAGTTAAAGTGTTCTAGTATCACACACATTACAGTACAACAAAAAATACCAAAAAGACACTCGTGAAGAGAAACGAGTTCTGCGCTGGTCACTCATTCAACAATTAAATCGCTTCACTTGCTATTTCTTCGTCCGGTACGGCATTATCGACTGCGTCAAAATGTTCACGTTCGACGAACTAAATAGTATATTCGACGAATATGCTATGAATACTATTAAATCAACACCCTCAATTAACTTGTGGATCCAACGAGTTACATAGTTGTAAACTTATATCAAAACATGTTTAATTCCTATTTTACACCCGAGTAGGCTTCTATATTGCCCCTGATCTGTTGGAGTACTGGACACAAGGATCGCTAACATTATTAAGTAATATCACTTGCAAAGCTGCAAATTCTTTTCCGATCACAACGACCTCTGATAAACATGGAACAGTCAAGCACTACTGTCGATTCCAGAAAAAACACGCGCGATCAGCATTCAGAATGTCGACGCTGATATTAGGTGACGGATCCTTGCGGCGCGATAGAACCCACACACCAATCCGACCTTCTCTGCGGACGACACCCTGAGACAACCAAACGAGTGGGAAGAAATGTTCAAACTTGGACGACATGTAACGACTTGATATCTGGACAGTATAGAAGTGTTTTCTACGCACTTCTTTATAGCTTTACCGATGACCGCCAAATTCAACGTAACTTTCAAGCTAAACTAAATAATGCTTAAAAAAAACTTAATAAAAGAACGTATAAGACAATGGAATTTAGCTCCGAGATTATTCCAATTGATAGCTTTACTCGAACTCATCACACTTGTTGGAAAGCGAAAAACGCTTTTGCATTTCCATCTGAATCAACCTAAAAACTACTACTACCAAGGAAAATCATAAGTTGTACTAATCCTATTAAATCTCTTCCTTAATGTTTACCGCTTATCATATTAAGTTCCTATTTTCCACATTACCGCTATTACATCCACAAATGTGCCTTCTACAATCCCTTGCTCCATAGCTACTGCATTCTACGTGACAACTTACATAACATTACTCGACCATCATATGGCAAAGCTGTTCTCTTGTTTCGAAGATAAACTCTCCCTCGCTACCCTTTTCTCGCTATTTTAGCCCTGTTTTCGTCTCATCACTTGTACAGCTTTGGTAGCGTCAAACTGTCATCACTTAATACTTAAATGATACTTGAACGGCCGGTCCTCATTGGTTGTGCGGACCCCAGCATAATGTCCACTTTTCGGAGTTTAGCTGGTTAAGCCATTGTGGTTCTCTGCAATCCCGAGGTCAGCCTGGTCAACGTCTGTCGCAGGTCATCACCACTACAGGCAGTCACAGCGCCTGTGGAACAGAGGGGGATTTGCCAATGCAACTTTGATACCAGGACGGTGGTGGATCTTGGTATTATTACTAGTGTGCTGTTATTATTACAAACCGGTTAAATGTCTAGGTTGAATATTCTGCTCCATGGCAACGTCGAAAAATCCCGCGTGGCAAATCCATAGAAAGTCGAGCATTTTGTTTCGAGCTGGCCGTTACTCCATTCGGATAGTCAACTCGAGAAGCTATATTCCACTGGAAAATACTACCTTTCTGGTGCATTAGCCCAGGTGATCCGAAGGATTTAACCTTCCAAGATGTAAAAGATTCATTCAACCAGTACCGTCAATGAAATTGTCAGAAAGCTTGCCGTTTTCATGGAAGAGCAGAGATAAACCACCTTCATATCGAAAATTATATGATCACTCGAGTTGTTTAGTGTCAGTCAATTTTGACAAAAGGGTCCCACGCCTTTGATCTAGGACAGAAATCCGAAAAACATCGCCGAGATGGAAGCTATCTTCGGGTAAGCTCCTGAACAAATTACGCCACGCTGAACTGTCAGTGGAATCGCCTACATGCAAAATGTAGAACTTAATCCAAATCTGCGACAAGTTTTCGTCCTTTGAGATAATACATTTTGAAAAAAGTTTTCTATCTTAGAAAAAATAGACAAGCACAATGCATTTAATCATGCTATTCTTCAATGAAGTTCGTTATAATAAGTGATAGCCATCGAATAGTATGTCAACATCATATGCTTGAAGTTGATAACGGGTTACAACTGCCAAATCATGATACCAAAGGTTAAAAACGGGACGACCGCTTGAACCAGTCTAAAACCAGGGTGGTGGTCGACTGTGGTACAAGTGAAACAATTGACCCCGTTCTATGAAAACTTGAGCATGCCAACGCTTTGGTGTTCGAAATACGATCGTCAACGAAAAATTGCCTCTATGGCCTCTAAAGAAGTCAATTTTTCTTTCCATGAAATAAAAAAAGTTGCATTTTATTGATAAAGATTTGTAGACTATAACGCTGTTTACTCCAGTCAACAGCAGTTTGGCCCGAAGTTCAAAGGCACAATTAACTGATACTATTTCAACGGTTTACTAAGAACTACATGAAGTAGTGCTCCTTAGCTCCCCTAGTGCAATGCATCCTTTATCATTTTAATACAAATTTTACAAAGGGGCGCATGTGGCGGCGCAGTAGTCGGGGGTGCTCTGCAACACATACATGGAATCGATCACCGCACCCGTGGCTCACCAAGCCTTCCATCCCTCTGGGGTCGGTAAATTGGTACGAGACTTGTCTGGGAGGATAACAGCACTGGTTCAATGCATCGGTAGGCCAAGGCGAGTCATTGTAAAGGCCAGATATGAGTTCAATCACCTCCAAACGATGCTTAATGAAATCGAATACATGCGTATCCCTCAGGGATTGATCAACGCCGAGAGCTATATCCTTTATCCTTCCAACGCAAATTTCCCAAACAAAGTTTTAAAATAGCAAAGAAAAGTTTTTTTTTCAAATCAGGCTTCATTGCCCTCCACATTAGCACACTATGTAGTAATGTAAATATCAAGTAATCAGTACTTAGACTCACATCTGTCTTCCTATTGTGACGATCGTACAATGGAGCTGCTTTGAAATTAAACGTTCTCTCTCCAAATACATCAAAGTTTAGATCGTTATAGCATGATTCACAAAAATACTGAACGGGGACTGGTGTGCTCTCGTGATTCCATACCACCCATCTGAAATGAAGCAAAATTTTTCTGCGAGATCTTATAGCTTCACTAAAAAAAGCTTAAAACTTGCAACTTACTCAGAGGTAGCCATTTTGCATCCAGCGCAAGAAATTCGGCGAGTGTTGAGCTCATAGAATGGCAATGGATACGGACCTGTTGGATGGACGTCATCGCTAAATGGAGAGATTAAACGTTCCAGTTTTTGCAACAAAAATCCACTTATCCGTCGCAGCGTTACTGCTTTAGATTACAATCAGGTGCAAACAACGATCAGCAAGAGCAAAACGACCTTTCTGTAGTCCTCATGTGCTGCTGAGTTTCAGCATACACTTTATGAGGTTCGAAGGTCATTCAGTAACATGTTTTCAAAAACTTAGCGTAGTACCACATAGGAAACAATGCAATTTATACCTCATGGAGAACATGCTCGATATTTGAAAATTCTCGTGATAAGCCTTACACAATGATGCGGAGATATTTGCACAACTCGCACCGAAGGTGTCTGCAGTGGAGAACGAACGCGCTAGTAACCCTTCCGGGTGCTTCCGGTTTCACTAGCACACCATGCAGGTCCTTCGTTTCGCTTTTCTCTCAGTTAGTTTTTCATCTACCAGTGCCATCAGTAATCACACATCAGTGGGGTTAATGGGCGGAGCCCGAATGGGCATTGAATCCTTCGTTTCACCTTTCTATCAAAGAACGTGCACTGCGTGGGAGTGATGCGTTAGCCACCGGAAACGGTATTAGTATGTTCGATCTCCACCGCAGACACTTGCCATAGAGAGTTTTTCAAATATCCCAGCATCACTGTGGTCGATTTCGCATAAGACCTTGCTGTGAAAATTGTAACAGGCAGTAAATAAAAAGGTTAACATTGTGATAATCCTGACAATTATACTGGTATGAATATTGTACAGCACGAAAAAAGACGAAATGCATTGTATTTGTCGAGAAACCGTCAGAAGCAAATTAATTTATTGGTGGGACTTCGAATGTTCAAGGAAAAAGAGGCTTACATAAATAAATCAATTCGAAAAAACTACCGTAAAGCGATGTCGTTGAACGAGATCAGATGTTCACATAAGCCAATGTGCACGTACAAGTAAGGTGCTCCAAGTCTACACTTAAGATCTATCAACCTATAATGTGAAAAATAAACACTAATTATGTGTATATACAACTCCTGTATATGAAAAACCTCCGTACGGTATGCAGTGGTACTGCTGTCAGCATGTAATAAAGTTGCATACGATGCGCAACTAGCGCTACGTTTAGCTTTTATGTCCTGTCATTCTAAACAACACCCGGAAGTCATCATAGCTACTGTAAATTAGAAACCAACGAACTGCTTCTCGAAAATGACGCTGCACACTGCACGCGGTCAGTTCATTGAGGGAGAGCGAGCGAGAGAGTCTTCCGTGCCTTTTCACAGGCCTCACTCTCTAGACTCTCAAGGCCGTATGCTCCCTTCAACAGCAATAGTATATAGCCAGAGAATGAAGAATTAGGAGAAAATTATTAATAAGACGTCCTCCCATGGACGCCACTAGCCACAGCATATGCGTTGGACAAACTATCGATTGATTAACAGAAGTATGGAAAAAATAACACCTATAGGTGTTTTACTGGCCAGTCGTCCTAGACCAATGTGAAACCTGCAAGTGTCATTCGTCGTGAAAGAGTTAAACAACGAATGGTCTCAAGCTACATCGAATTAGATGTACTTTCAATTTTTTCTTACCAAAATGTTGCATGAAACGAGTTAACCATTATAACAACAAGAAAAGGACCATTATAAAAACTAAAAACGAACTTCGTTGTATTCATGTCTGCTACCTTCGTTCCACCAAGCCCTCTCTCGGTCGCCCAAGTACGGATCATTCTGTAACACTTAATAAACATTACAGGATTGTTAACTGACTTTAGAGATAAACTCCTACGTTGTTCCACAATCACCTACACATATACTCTACAAGTTATTAACCAGGAAGCTTACTCTGTAATATCTTGCGATCCTTTTGGTTCAAGGTCAATATAGAATGTATCGTGAATAAAGAAGAACGAGGATGGATAACGGTACTGGAAAAAAATATCGCCGAGTGTAAATTGTTTATATCCAAACAATTCTTTCACCAGAAACATATGCAATTCGAGAAACTGAAGGTCTTGCTAGAATTCTGCAGCTAATAGTTCCATGATCGACTTTCTATTAACCTCGGCATTGGAATATGAATGTGTCGTTTTCTTGTTCAGCAATCGCGAGGTTTTTAAACAGCATACAATTACTTCCATACACAAACACAATACAATACAACACTAGCTGACGTTTCGGCAGTATCGCCTCCCTCAGAGCCTGGAAGGGTATACTGATATACAATCTACTAGGCCAAACGCTTCAATCACACTTACAAAAAGACGAAAAACTCCCTGGTAATTACATGATCAACAACTTCTCGAAAAAAAACCCACTGCTTTCTTCGTGACTTCCAATGAGGAAGTTTAGAACAGCTGATTATAGTCGCATGTGGTTGACGACTGCACCATTCTCGATCTCCGGCCACTACTCTACTGCAGATATGTAGATGATTGTTTTGTCGTCTTCTCTACGCAGGAGGAGATGGACAGATGCTTTGAATTATTGAACGAGCAGTCCGAGTACATAAAGTTCACCCGGAAGAAACCGAGAAGAAACTGGCTTCCGTTTTTGAACGTTCAAATAAACATATCAAGTAGCAGTTACCTGACAAAGTGGTATCGAAAGCCAAGTAACAAGAACATTCTTGTCCATTTCCTTTCTTCCCACCCTTCACACACAAAGAGGGCGATTGTGAGAAACATGTTTCGAACAGCCACCTCTGTGCACTACCAGAGAACTAAAGGAAGAATCGCGCGACTTGGCTCGGCAAATAGCCATCTCCAATGGCTACGAAATAGTAACTCCACAAGATAAGTTTAGAAGGAAAGCGACGCGCCCACGCGAAACACTTGGCCGAAAGAAAATCCCGTTTATGTTGCCTTTTATAAGCGATGAACTAAGCGTAGCTATAAAACGATGCTTAAGAAGGGCAGGTCTAGAGGAATCAGTAGCGATAGTTGAAATACTACCGGCTACTCTACGTCGTCAATTAGTTCGTAACCGCCTGTACGACCGTCTGTGTCACACAACAAATTGCGTAATTTGCCCTTACGGCAGGGACGGTGTTTGCATGAGTTCAGGTACGATATACCTGATCTCGTGTAACAATTGCGGAGATGAATATACTGGCGAAACGGGCAGACCTTTGTGTATCCGTATAGAAGAACACCTAGACGGCAAACGAAAACTAAGACGAAGCACCCCACTAGGCACGCATAGGATACAAAAGCATAGCGGAGACGATTTTGAAGTAAAAGTCAATATCCTTGCACAGGAGTCCAAAACACCAGCGCGNATACTACCGGCTACTCTACGTCGTCAATTAGTTCGTAACCGCCTGTACGACCGTCTGTGTCACACAACAAATTGCGTAATTTGCCCTTACGGCAGGGACGGTGATTGCATGAGTTCAGGTACGATATACCTGATCTCGTGTAACAATTGCGGAGATGAATATACTGGCGAAACGGGCAGACCTTTGTGTATCCGTATAGAAGAACACCTAGACGGCAAACGAAAACTAAGACGAAGCACCCCACTAGGCACGCATAGGATACAAAAGCATAGCGGAGACGATTTTGAAGTAAAAGTCAATATCCTTGCACAGGAGTCCAAAACACCAGCGCGGAAACCTCTTCAGGTTTTCTGGATAAATGCCGAAAACCCTACAATGAATAGCAGGGACGAATGCCTGGAGGTCATACGCGACCTAATCCCGTATGTTCGCATCGATTTTTGATGTGGGATGGTGCAGTCGTCAACCATATGCGACTATAATCAGCTGTTCTAAACTTCCTCATTGGAAGTCACGAAAAAGCGGTGGGTTTTTCGAGAAGCTGTTGATCATGTAATTACCATAGTTTTTCGTCTTTTTGTAAGTGTTATTGAAGCGTTTGGCCTAATAGATTGCATATCAGTATACCCTTCCAGGCTCTGAAGAAGGCGATACTGCCGAAACGTCAGCTAGTGTTGTATTGTAATGTGTTTTTCTATGGAAGTAGATGTCTGCAGTTAATGTTGTAAGGTAAATTATTATTTAAAAAGCAAAGCGAGCAGCGTTATCCTATCCCTCGGGATTCGCCGTGCATTGGACTCCATTTGTGAGGTCGCGAAGGTGGTTGAATACATATTTGGCTTATACAGCGACTTGCAATGGCCCATAGATGTACCAAGTCAGCTCTCTTTAATCTTCCAGACAACTCTGTTACCAATTTGCAGAACCCTGATGCATGCCGCCCGCGGTTGAATAGCTCAAGGCATGGCATCGAACCAACTGCAAGAATGTGAAGCGCGGAGAAAGTACGTATTATACGCGGGCCAAAGAAGGAGTTAGAAAACCTTCAAAAAAACGTTGCGGGCAATGAACACAAAATTTGGTCTTACAAAGTTGGAGGAGGATATATGATGGTTTGCTGCAGCACTGAATAACATAAGTCAGGAATAAATATTACCTTACAAAGATCTTGATCTGTAAGAAATCGCTGACTAACATCATCAAACACATAATAGTCTGCCGGACAATCGATTGAATCCTTCAGTTCCTTCAGGGTATTGGAACCGAGAACCAGAAAACGATCGACTACTTTCAACTGCAATAAGTTTTAAGTGTAAAGCAGCTGGCCGTACCGATCACAAAAAACCCCTTACCAATCTACCAAGTCGCAGTTCTTCTTTTTCAAGCGGACGAGGATAACCAACATGAATAGAAACTTGCACCACGATATCATTCTGAATATGGAGTTGCTTTAATTAAACAAAACTGGCAAAGCATGTAATCGGAATAGAAAACAACATGCTTAACCCTACCAAATTAGAGCATTCAGTTGAATTCTCTTCGATACATGGATTACGTTCTATGGTGGGCAAGGAATCTGTTGCAGGGTCGCAATTTGATCCTAAAACTAGTGATTGGACCCACTTTTTAAAAGTCCTTCAAGTTTGCAAAGCAGAAGAGTACTTAAACCTTTTAATATTAACTGCAGGAGAAATAGAAATTGCCACCTAGAAACTTCACAGTATGAAGAAAAAAACTTAACTTCGTATGGAGCTTCCTCTCTGGTGCATAAATTTTCTTGTGGGAACATTTGTAGTTGTTGCAATGGCTGATTGAATAAGTAGGGATTCTGATTATTATTATTACGATAATCTCCAACTTGAAAGTCGGAGAGAGGTGGAATAGGGAACAAGCCGCCAACGGATTGACGATACCACGCAGCAGGATTCTCTGTTTTATATGGGAACAAGTAATGAGGAACCGTCACGGAGTGCCTCCATGGCTCATTTAGGCCAGTCGTAAATGGGCAAACTTCGGCGTTATTTACGTAAATTCCATTATCAATTGTACTATTCAGTACAGCAGCGGTTGGGAACAACATAAATTGGCTGCTTGTAGGCATTAGCGTGTTATCACCAGCGTTCTGAGCATTACTGAAATAAGGTAATGGTGGTCTATGGAGCCAACACTCCGCAGCAGATGGGTTTGGACACCACTGATCGCACATGGGATCCGTCCAGGAAGATTGAGGATTCTATAAAACACATAAAATTAACGGTTTCAACACAATACTATCACAATTGAATAGACTAAGCACAAAACATTTTATACGAGCCCTTTTCATATCTACTGTGCAGATCCCAGCACTTGTCATATTCGATTCGTTTCCTCGCATCCTACATCCGATGTCCTCCAACTTATTACGTGTGACTTCGGCTGATGATTGAGGATTTCCATTTCATCTTGAATGTCGTAGAATGCTGGTCGAGCAATTCTCCCCGCAGTCCTGAGATATCCGGCCTAGAGAGTTCCCATTTGGACTGCAGAGGGTAATTTTTTTCCGGAAAAGCCCGATGCCAATCTCCCGATCCCGAAGGGAAGAGGAGTTTGGTGAGCCCGAAGTGGGATCGAACCAGCACCGCGCTCGTTATGATCGGCATCACTATTACTGTGCTATCCGCCGCAACACAAGACATTATAGAACAAAATTATTGGAAAATGCACACTTACGATTGGTGGTAGGAGAGTAGAGAATACTGAAAAAAGTGTATGAACTGAATAACTGAGAAGCACTGAAGAATGACTATGTATGCATCACACAATATAATAGCTTTAAAAAATCAATTTGTAAAATATTACATGGTTGGTTGCTGAAGTCGTTATTATTTTGATCTGCGCAAAGAACAGTGCTAGCGCTCTCTGTCTGGAGAAAATCCTCATATGGGTTATAGATAGGGATGACATCTTCAGCTGAAACACAGTGAAAACCTGAATAAAAGTACTTTTCCAAATCCCTCTATGACTAAAATTAATTGTTTCCGTTTCTACAGAACAAATTGGATTTTTTCCTAAACTCGCTGTAATGGTTAAACCAGCAAAAGCCCGAAAAACTGGAAATTATGCGGATCCCACGCAACCAGTGAACACGGGTCACCCAAGTATCCAAGTAAGTTGTATGCAATAACAAGCATTCATGGTTACTAACAAAAACTTCTTAAACAGAAGTGATGAGAAAAAAAGTAAATTTTACAGCAAAGAAACCATTCGAAATCAAAATCAAGCTTTCAATTAATCTACCTTGAGAATGAGGCCAGTGCACATACGAAGAGTACGCAAATCTATCGTCGTGATGAAGAAACTGACAATCAGCTGTGCCATTTCCATCAAGATCGAGGTCAGCCACTCCTTCTAAAAAGAAATTTTCCTAACGTAGGTAGCAGACCACTAAGATATTGAAAGTGTCGAGGGATAAAGCTGATAACTTACTATTTGATGGAGCAATTTCTTCGATCCCAGCTTCATGTTCATTATTGAAATCCTTGAAATAGCAACAAGTAACAAAAAACTACAGGTTTCAGAAGAGAACACAAAAAACAATGTGGTACCTGGGCTGTATTTGAAGACGCGTGGTTAGCTATGCTCGCATTGGTTTTGGGTTTCTGACAACAACGAGAGATCACAGTTGGGTCGAAACGGTCATACTTCATAGAACGCAACACTACAGATTTATAACGTGGGTTTCTTCTCTTATCATTCTCTGCTAGCAGTAATCTGGAAATTTACTTAACACGAACTCTCGCATATTTTCAAGCGGTTTTTGGCAAGATGTTATTAAGTGAAGGATAGGGAGCTACTCCAGAGTAAAAGTGAATGCGTATTGATCTAGGGGACGGATTCACTTGTAATTTTCGTATGAAGATAGATTTATACGTGTGTGTAAAACACCTACGAAGCGTAGTTAGGAAAATTCTTAAGTCTTACTTCACACTCATTAATGGCGTTTTCTTTGGAACAGCCAGTCGTCCACGGCCATCATCTTTGTCAAAGTTGTATTGTTTCGTTGGATGTCGAAATTCTTTGATCCTTAATGTCATGGTAATCTGTTCATAATCATTCATGTGTACTGTGATGTTTTCTAGTTAATGGCTAAGAAATGTAAAATTTAACTAGCACTGTCTGGTGGACAATTTAAATCTTACCGAAATCCAACTGCTACAAGTCAGTAGCTCAACAGATTTTTCAGACTATTAAGACAACTCTAATGGAAACTCATCCATGGTTTACCCGTGATTTAACAAACTTAAACGGTAACATGGCCATAGCACTAACACGTTCGTCACCAGCTGGTGCATCACTTCGCCAATTCCATCATTGCTCATGTTTAGTCTCCTCAACGAGGAAACAAGGTCGTCCTTCCAGTTGTCACTGTATCCCATTTTTAATCCACATCTCTCTAAGTTATCACGCGACTCCACAGCCTTTGCCACGAATTCCCTGAAAAAAAAAGACCTCTACTTCGAATGTGGGAAACACGAAGCATTACAGTGATACTGTCACACATGGCTGTCATAAAGACAGCGATCACTCAGAAACTGCGTCAGTTCACAGCATTTCTATTGGACTCCAAATTGCCTACGTGCTTATTTCGCTATTCATATGGTTGCGCTCTCCAGTTACTTCATACTACGGGAAAATCTCCACAGCATATTTCACGTTCGTTTTTCTAAAGCAGTAAGTACTTGTCTGGAACTTTAGCAGCCTTTATCAATGGTAAACAAATAACATCGAAGGCCTAGCTGACTACCATTGAGATTATGTTACTGTTCGCTTTGTGTCCATTCACTATATCCTGTATGAACAGAGAACTCTTCACCATACGCTGTAAAGGCCTATTGTTCCTAATGGGATTCTCCCTCCGAAAACTACAAAATGGTGCGAATTAAACACAGCACTGAACTAGAGACTAAAGAGGATTCCTGTGAGGTCAAAAGAAGAGGGGTTTACAACCAAATCATGGATGGATTATAAAGGCGTAGAGGTGCAGATGGTAAGTTTATAATGCAATAATGGAATCAGTCTCATTGTACAACTTGAACCTGCCTGAACACTACGACTTCACTGACGTACTCCTGGTTGTCGAAATCAAAGATTTTATCCATTGCCATGTCGAACTGAACTATAAAGTTGCAAGACAGTTTCAAAATAACTCATAAAAGCTAACAATAATCCGGTATAATGTATGCAGCCACAGCCGCGGAGGTGCTTAAAAACAAATTCTAGAAGTTCTTTCTAGAAGAGGTAAAAGACTTTCTTCCCGGCAAAAATCCGCTTGCGTTTCCATCGATTGTACCGTAGGGTAAGCCTTGAAATCGTTGTGGGACCCCAAATCATTCCACCTTCACGCCTCCTATAAGGATGAGATCATGTCGTCCTTCATTTAGAGTAAATGTTCACGGAAGAAGATCATCGAGCACACCTCACGTCCAGTAGGTAGGAAATTATATGCTCGATGACATGTATTACTTGACTATTGTATGAGTACATGGAGGAATCGATCTAATAGCTAAAAGAATACAACCACTATGATGCTGAGCTATTCGCAGAACTCGTACACCAGGCCAAGTTCAAACCCTCGGTTGTCCTTTCCTGGGACTGATTTCCCGACCCCAAAAGGACGACAGACTTTGAAATAGTGCATTGCGGTGTCGAGCAAGAACCGTGCTTATGATGAAAGGCATCACTACGACTGAACTACCATCTCCTAATTTGGTTCCCTTTTAAAATTACACATGAGTCAAAACCACGTATACTCCCTTCATTTGATTCGATTCTTCGCATCGTCATCAACGCGTGCGTATTTGCATATGGATGCCTTCTGGTTTTTGGTCTCCTTTATGAATGTCGCTGAATACTTTAACGTTGATTCTCTCAGGAAGACTGGAGTACCTATTCGGGAGCCTTCCCACGTCTCTCAGTAACGGAAATCACTAGTGACAACGTGAATACTACAAAATCTCGAACGGTTCGCTGATCAGAAACCGACCGTTGTGCTTCTGTATAAATTATCAAAAATGACCTCAATGATGCTGAGATATTTACAAAACTCCGGACCGCAGGTGTCTGCGGTGGGTAACGAACGCGATACTGTCCTTTCCGGGTAGTAACGCGTTCACCACCACACCATGCAGATCCTTCGTTCCGCCTCTCTCTCAGCTAGTTCTATCGATCCTTTGCCATCAGCAATCACCCGTCAACGGGATTGATCTGAGTAGCCCAAATCAGCAATGAACCCAGAAGCTAAGGCTCTTTTTTTTGTTTTTTTTCTATTTTTTTCTATTTTTGGAATTTAAAAGAAAATACCGAAAATTAAACCATGAATGGGCCATAATGGCAAGGGCTGCTGGTTTAAAACCATTAGTTGTCTCTCAACTTAAAGTTGACTTCTCGTCTTGTACTTACTTATAAAAACACATAAGTTAGTATCCAGTTAGATCGGAAGTAAGTGCAGCTATAAAACGCTGCTTAAGAAGGACGAGTTTAGAGAATTCGGTAAACGTAATTGAAATGCCACCGAGTACTCTTAGACGCGAACTAGTTCGTAACCGCCTACATGACCGTCTATGTGTAACGCAAAATTGCATAATTTGCCCCAATGGTAGCGACGGTGGTTGCATGAGTTCGGGTGTAGTTTACGTGATCACCTGTAAGCCGTGCGGAGACGAATACATTAGCGAAACGGGTAGACCACTCCGTGTCCGTATAAAAGAACACCTAATCGGTAAACTTAAACCAAATACTCCACTAGGCACGCATAGCACGCAGAGACGTAACGGGAAGGATTTTGAGGTAGTTACGAACATCTCACAGAAACCGAAAACACAAGCGCGCAAAACTCTCGAGGCTTTCTGGATTAATTCCAAAGATCCGAAAATGAACCGCAGTGAGGAATGCCTTATTATCACACGTGATATTGGGCAGTGTATAAGCCTGTTATTCTGATCAGATGGGCACATTACGCTCTCATGTGAACCCTATGCGGTTGGTCCTCACACGACGTACTCAGTGGGAGCCGCATAGAAAGCGGTGAGTGTAAAAAGAAGCCATTTTGTGTTTAATGTGATTGAAATTTTGGTTTAGCGTTTTCTTTGCTTGGTTATGGAGGTGTTTGGTCGAATAGATTGCTGTCAACTTGACCTTTCCAGGCTCTGAGGAAGGCGAAATCCGCCGAAACGCCTTATTCGTGAGTAAAGAATAATAACACCTCTCGTTTGCTCAAGAAAAATACGAAGAATTACTTGATCGATCCGATCAATGCCGAGGTTAATAGAAAGTCGGTCGTGGGATTGATGGATCAATTCAGCTTATCGTAACCGATCCTATAACATAAGAAAGAACTTTCGTCTAAAGTGCTTCACATTCCCCCGGACGACTTGGACAGTGTACGATTGGTCACTTTTCCCGCTCTATTATACCTACGTCAACTTTTTTAGCCGACCAAATCTGGATTTGAAGTGTTGTTAGGGATAAACGTACCAAATATTTTGTTCAGTGGAACTCACTTTAGAGAACGGACCGGCTGATTTTAAGGAATTAACCAGTTTTCTTCAGAAAACATTGGCATTCACCGAGTGCAGCCATTAAACATATGCAAACAATGATGCATTTCCGTGCTTGTTCTGAGCTCAACAAATGCATAAACATCGACCTAGAAAAACACCTCGCCAAACTGGTTACAGTAGTTCGAATAGTAATCGACATATCTGGATGGTTATACTTATCTCGTCGCGATCTGTTCAGCGTGCTTATAGCTAACTTATCCGATGTTGACAGGACAAACAAAAGACTTGGAGACCACCCCGAACCGCCACCATCTATTTCCTATTTCGCAGTCAATGCACGTCAACCCTGCTCAACAACGACACAACTCCGACTCCTTGATCACAAAAAAACCTAAATCAGTGGTTGAATTTCGGCTACAATTAACTTACTATCGGTTATTCTGTAACAATTATTTGCACTCATAGAAGCTGTACTGCTTGGATACTTGGATGGTGCACCCTCACTAATTGTGTGGACCCAGCAAAACTTCTGTCTTTTCGGAGTTTCGCTGGTTTAGCCACTGTGGTTCCCTGGAGTCCCGAGGTCAGCTAGGCCAACACCTGCTCTAAGTCGTCACCACCGCAGCCGGTCGCTACCTTTGTTGATTGGAGGAAGATTTGCCACCATGAGACTTTGATACCAGGGCGGTAGTGGCTCCCACCACTGGTTTACACTTAGCTGGGCTTCCTGATGGAAACACCGAGCTCCTTCTCAACTTGGGAGGCCCTGCCTGAGAAAATGAATCACCCCGCTATATATCGCGGCTCTACACCCAGGAACACCTCGCAGCCATGATGTGGCGGTAAAGCGTAGGCAGGAGAAGCCGTAGTGATAGCCAAAAACAAATATGATTTCCAAACGCACGTTATTGAAGAAACTTATAGTACGCTGTAAATTTAGATCGTATAATTGTGTATACACATAATTTCGACTGATAACGCATCAGTGGTAAAGAGAAAACGCCACTATTGCCGTCGTTGAGCAGTTGAGTGGACATAAAAAAGAACGTGAAGAGAATGGAACACTTTAAGATTTAAGAAATTTCTCTTACCGTAATTCGATGCGTACATCAAACAGACATGAACAACCTGTCTGACAATGGTTACAAACAGGAAAGCATATTATTATTTAAAAAAAAAAACAGCTGCTAGAAGAATGTGAACTTGAACACCATAAGTCAATTATTGAACACCCAGCGAAAGGCAGAAGAAACATGATAGGAAGAAAAAATGCACAAAAACTGAGAGAAAAAAGACCTCGATACTATCGACAGAGGGACTTTAAGAATCACTTCAACATAAACCCGTGAAGCAATATGTAGATGAATCATAGGCGTATCCATTTTTTGGACGATCACTAAAAATCGGACGAGGAAAACGTCCGATACCCATAGTGATAACTGATGCACACATTCGATACAAGACGTCCGTATCAGAGATCTGGTGACAAAAATGCATTTAAATTTAGAGTGTCCTGAAAGTGGTATCGACGGCGCTGAACTACAAAACCACACAGTGAAGAACAAGGAATGTTTTGGCAGTAAAAGACACAGTATTCATCTGGATAATTCTTATCCGGAAGTTATTATAAACTTAGAACGAAGCGTGAAAAACCAATAAATTGGAAGTTATGCTCGGCTACGATTTTCAGCACGTCAATGCGTTTACGACGAGCAGATTCCCAATTTTGGTAACTGAGTCAATCGTCGCTTCGCCAGTGCCGACGCGTTCACTGGACGCAAGTTCACTGCACTGGTCGTGGTCAGAGCACGGTACGTTTGCTCAAGTGCTCCCTGAAAACAGTAAATTCTGTCCCAAAAGTCGTGCTTTATCCGACCGACCAATATATACCTTCACTGACTCCACGTTATAGACATTGTTTACTATGATGGTGGCCGGCAGACTGTTCCTATGTGTGATCCATGGATGTTGAAGGATTTGTTTTGCCGTTGGACGTCGTGAAGCGTCTACATCCAACAATTTGCGAACGAGATCCTGAAAATCGGGTCGAATTGGTGTTTGAATCCGAGTGCTTGTTTCTTTAAATTTGTCCGCTTCCTTTAGTATCATCTACATATGTCTTTTACAATAAATTGGTCCTGCTTTACTTACAAATTTCATTTCAAAAATGGAATAAACGAGGTATTATGGACAATAAAAGTGAGAAAACAGACATAATTATACCAAAAATTGATATCATTACGGCCCTCGATGATAAATAAGACAAGGAACCTTGTTATTTATGGTACACAACGTAAGTTATTCCTGTGACTGTAAGGAAGAGCCACAACCTTTAGCCAGAGGATTCAGTTTGATACATCGTCCTCGACCGGTGATCACCGACAAACAGCAAGAATCGTCGTTCCTACGAAAGAATCCTTGGTAAGGAACTTCACTCCGTTCCATAACGGTTAATGACTATACGTAGTGAATAGCCAAGAATTCCAAGGAAAACCGCACTCGACCAGCATTCAACGTGTCAGTCAGGAAAAAAGGTGACAGATCCTGAGTGGCTTGAGATGAACAAGGCCACGAAGGCTTTTAGCTAACGAAGGAAGAGGAAAAAGTGCCGGCTGAGTCCCGCACGTCATATGAGAACACTCCATCTAAGTAACCTAGCAAAATGAACTAATGATTAGACTGGCACTTTAGGTAGCAATTCCCAAAACCGACTTTCTGTTAACCTCGGCATTAATTGATAAATCAATGTTTTTCTTCAATAAGCAGAGACGAGGTTGCTAATATAGAATTTATTAGAGTACAACAGCTGACGTTTCGGCGGTTTCGCCTTCTTCAGAGCCTGGAAAGGTCAAATTGAGATGCGATCTACTCAGCCAAACACTTTCATAACCCCAACAGATAAAACTTGACAAATCAATTTGCATTCGCATAAGAAACAGCTTCATTCAAACACCTACCGTTTATTTGTTGTAAGTATTTAAGTTAGTTGATTGATAGCCGCCGCACAGAGTAATACGTGGGCGATAACTGTGCCTGTGTCAGATCATTGGATTAGCCTGAGGTATGGCGCCAGGTCACGCGTGATGACAAGACACTCCTCGTTGCGGTTCACTTTTGAATTTTTGGAATTGATCCAAAACGCTTCAAGAGTTTAACGCGCTGATGTTTTCGATTCCTGCGTAAGGATAGTGACTCCTATCTCAAAACCTTCTCCGTTGTGTTCCTGCATCCTATGTGCGCCTAGTGGAGTATTTTGTTTTAATTTAGATTTACCCACTAGGTATTCCTTTATGCGGACGCAGAGCGGTCTACCCGTTTCGCCAACATTCGTGCTCGCACGCTTAAATTCTATATTAACAACCTCGTGTCTGCTTATTGAAGAAAAACATTGAATAATAAGATTAGACTCTTTTCTAAAAAGTCGTTATAGAAGTTGCTTACTCAAGTTATTTTATAGTCATGTTTTAAACGATGATCTAGGAATCCATCGTTGTGATCGCTGTAGAAGACAAAAATTAAATCATCTGAATTGTTCTGTGTATTTCACCTAAGCAGTAATCAAAATGTAATTGTGCACAGGAAGACAGCAGAGAGAGAGAGAGAGTCCCGGAACTTGGTGAGACAAATAGCCATTTCTAACGGCTACGAAACTATAGCTTGGGATAGGTGTAGAGGAAACCCCAGACCCCCAAAGGACAACTCTGGCGATAATAAGGCCCCGTTTATCCTGCCCTTCATTTCAAATGAGGTAAGTGCAGCTATAAAACGCTGCTTAAGAAGGACGAGTTTAGAGAATTCGGTAAACGTAATTGAAATGCCACCGAGTACTCTTAGACGCGAACTAGTTCGTAACCGCCTACATGACCGTCTATGTGTAACGCAAAATTGCATAATTTGCCCCAATGGTAGCGACGGTGGTTGCATGAGTTCGGGTGTAGTTTACCTGATCACCTGCAAGCCGTGCGGAGACGAATACATTAGCGAAACGGGTAGACCACTCCGTGTCCGTATAAAAGAACACCTAATCGGTAAACTTAAACCAAATACTCTACTAGGCACGCATAGCACGCAGAGACGTAACGGGAAGGATTTTGAGGTAGTTACGAACATCTCACAGAAACCGAAAACACAAGCGCGCAAAACTCTCGAAGCTTTCTGGATTAATTCCAAAGATCCGAAAATGAACCGCAGTGAGGAATGCCTCATTATCACACGTGATATTGGGCAGTGTATAAGCCTGTTATTCTGATCAGATGGGCACATTACGCTCTCATGTGAACCCTATGCGGTTGGTCCTCACACGACGTACTCAGTGGGAGCCGCATAGAAAGCGGTGAGTGTATAAAGAAGCCATTTTGTGTTTAATGTGATTGAAATTTTGGTTTAGCGTTTTCTTTGTTTGGTTATGGAGGTGATTGGTCGAATAGATTGCTGTCAACATGACCTTTCCAGGCTCTTAGCAAGCCAAATCCGCAGAAACGACATCTTTTTCTTGAATAAAGAATAAAATAACGCCTAGCGTTTGCTCAACAAGAATATAAAGAATTAAAAAATGTTAGTGTTTAAACGTTCTAACCTTAGCACTATCACTAATTTCAGTCCATGGCCCCCCCTCCATCGAAACACGACCTTCACCAACGCGCTTTAGAATCTCTTCTGCAGGGTCGTCGGGTCCCATGGCAAACGGAGTCTGACCGGATAGCATCGCATAGAGTAACACACCTAATGACCATACGTCACACGATCGGTCATATCCTTGACGTTTCAGCACCTCTGGAGCCACCTCAAACAAAACTCTTAGACAAAGCATCTCATTCAACGATTATAATATTCTTTTCAATACTGGCAACGAAAAAAAAAACCATGGATTATAGTGAAAGCACCTCTGGTCTTTTTTAATAAAATGAATATAATGTTTAACATTTCGAAACCGACTTTCCTTGAACCTCGGTGTGACTAATCAATATGTATTCTTTCTCGATAAGCTTGCACGAGGTTGATAAAAATATTTATTTTCGGCTAACGTTTCGACGTCTTCGTCTTCCTCAGAGCCGATGATCCGAGTCGATGGTCTATGTTTGTCGTTCGCCTCGACGTTGCAGCTTCGCCTTCGTGTCGAGCCAGGTCCTCCTCAGTGAGCCATCTTCTCGAATCTTTTTTTTTGATAAATATATTTATCAACCTCGTGCAAGCTTATCAAGAAAGAATACATAATGTTTAACGTTTTGTTTTCTGCCTTCTATAATTTTCATGGCAGGTTACTAAGCGAAATACAACCACAACGTTGCTGAGATATTTGTAAAACTCTGGACCGCAGGTGTCTATAGTGGGGAACGAACGCGCTATTATCCTTTCCAGGGAGTAACGCGTTCACCACCACACCATGCGGGTCCTTCGTTTCGCCTAGCTGATAGCTGAAAGACAGGCGAAACGAAGGACCCGTATGGTGTGGTGGTGAACGCGTTACTCCCCGGAAAGGATAATAGCGCGTTTGTTCCCCACCATAGACACCTGCGGTCCAGAGTTTTGCAAAAATGAATATATGCATTCTTTCTTGATAAGCTTGCACGAGGTTGATAAATACATTTATTTTCGGCTAACGTTTCGACTTCTTCGTCTTCCTCAGAGCCGATGATCCGAGTCGATGGTCCATGATTGTTGTTCGTCTCGACGTTGCAGCTTCGCCTTCGTGTCGAGCCAGGTCTTCCTCAGTGATCCATCTTCTCGAATGAGGCATCCTCACTCAGTGATGCCCTTTTATACGCGATGCTGATGGTGGATATATAATGATAATGTCCGGTGGTAACAACCTGTATTTCTTCCGGACATACATCATTGCGGACGTCGTACAGAAGTCGGTGTTTTGTCAGCTAGCACAAAGCGTAGTAATATTTTTTGATTTTTTTTTATTTTGAAAAAATGAATATAGTTTTTTGGACCGAAAAAAGAAATGGAACTGATGTTTGCGTTACAACTCGACTTCGGTTTTCCGGCTTTCCGTACTACTCTACATATCGAGTTGACAGCAAAGAAAGAAAAGGACAAATTTCATATGTTAAACTCACAAACTGCGCTGTATAGCACGGTGTCATTAGCATGCCGTTCTCTGCTCGAGACTGCTTGGCAAAGCCGAAGTCGATTATCCGAAGCGAGTCCGATTCCCCGTTGCTAGATGCGTACATAATGTTCGACGGTTTCAGATCACGATGCGCTACCTGAGCAAAATTATGATTGATAATTTCTTCACAAGATAGACTCGATCAATAACCACCTGATTCGTATGAAGATAACAGATAGCGTTTGCAAGATTCACCATCGATGCAGCCGCTTCACGTTCGGTAAATGTTCTCTTCGATAAAATCCTGCAACTGTTCACAATAAATATACAAGTAAAAAAATTAACATCGTTTCAAAGGTGGCCCCTTTTTAATAACAGCCCTGGTCCTTATTTGGGTAGGCGAAAAAACCTTGCAGCACTTTACATAAAACGAAATTTTAGGTCCGTTATAATAGTTCGACGTTGCAGAAAGCTACATGATTCCTGGTAATCAATGTATACTGCCATTGGGAGCAAATACTCCTAAACAGTTCTCGACTTAAACTTTCGTTTGGACAACATCTCCAGAAGCAGAAAGCAGAAAAACCAGAAAACAGATAGAACGCGCTATCTAAAAGAACGAGCTAAGCTTACTATGAGGCATTCTTCAGAAAAAGAGCGAAATATTTTCTAGTTTACACTAAAGATTATGACCCACCGACAACAGTATATATTGGATATATATATATACATATATACGTGTCGATTAAAGACATGCATACCGTACCTGTCCAACATTTCGCCACCACGACAGTACTCCAGCAACAGATTTACGTGTGCTTCATCCTCATACACATCGAACAACTTTACAATGTGTGGATGATGCCCGTGTCTCAGCAGGATATCCACCTCTTCAGATGGATCGCATGCCGATTTTTTGATGATCTAAATATCTTTTCGCTGAAAACTGAAATCATGCGTAACTATAATGGCTAGTTACAAAACTTGAACTCTTTCCCTGCATCTCGACTGACAAATTTTCACAGCACCGTTTCGAAAGCTTCTTGAAATCTTTTTCAGACCATACTTACATACTTGATACTTGATGGGCCCGTCCTCAATAGTTATGCGAGCCCCAGCATAATTACCATTTTTTGGAAATTTGCTCGTTAAGCCATTGCCCTTTCCTGGAATCCCGAGGTCAGCCTGATCAAAGTCTGCCCCAGGTCTTCACCACCACGGGCAGTCGCAGCCCTTGTGGATCAGAAATATATTTGCCCCCATGCGGCTTGGAAACCAGGTCGGTGGTGTACCCCGGCATTGGTTTACTCTTAGCTAGGCTTCCTGATGGAAACGCCGGACTCTTTCCTAGCTTGGGAGGCCCTGCCTGAGAGACAGAACCCCCGCTGCACATCGCAGTCGGACACCCAGAAACACCTCCCGGCCACAATAAGACGGCAAACCGTTGGTAGGTTTAATTTCCCAAGTTTGAGGTCTTCAGATCATAAGGAAAACCATCTTGGAATGATATGGCAAGATTTATTTACTATGTCCCATAAAATTCTACTTCTATATTAAATGAAATGTCATTCCATCAGTGTTGTTCTGATCTCAAACTCAGAAATATTGGACAACCATGAAGCACACCCGAAACAGAAACAGGGTAAAGCGACTCAATTTTGAAACGAACATCATGGGATTTATTCATTTTCATTTTCGACTAGCATTAAATTGGGACGTTGATTGAAAAAGAGTTGCACCAACTTTTTAAAATTTTTTCTTTGAACTATAAGATTTATTTCGATGTTCACTTACTTTCACTGCAAACTCGCGCTTTGTCGTTCTCATGATGCATCGCCTTACGACTGAAAAGGTGCCGGTACCGATTTCCTGAAAGTGTCGTCATAAAACAGTAATATTAGAGTTCGGTATTCATCCATAATAGATAGGATTCTCTCTAACAATGACAAATTCAGTTTTCAAGAAAGGAAAAACAGAAATGGAATAAATTAAAGATTCTAACCACTTTGACTTCCTTTTTTGACTTTCTTTTAAATTTTGCTATCCACTTTGACAGATTCCGAGTATTAACGGTGACTTTCATCGCTCAGAAATCTACCAAGAATCGGTAGTTGACACAGCACTGCTGGTTGAAAAAAAACTTTCCGAAGTAAATCACAAATCCCTGGACAGAATTTCTTTTAATCTTGGCTCAGTCCTGCCGTGTTCACAACCCCTGAAGTCTTTCAGTTGCTGAAAAACTACCATTTATTTCCGGCTGGCTACTGAATCCCGCGCGCCGCGATGTTTTAAACAGAAATGTAAACTCCTTATCACTACAATAAAGATCTCATGGTGAAGAAATAAATTCCATAACATATATGGGACCAAACAAAAAACGCTGGTTAACAGTACCCAAAAGCTCCTAAGGGATTTGGATGGTCATAAAAACGATAAAAATAACTATTACCTCTTCCAGTATATAATCATCCGTGATTGGATGTGTTTTAGCGGTTGGAATCGTTCGCATCTTCTTCTCATCCTTCTTATCATCCACCACCGATGGTGACACGAACGAAAATCCACGAAACAACTCATGTGCTGTGGCTGATGGTGGGACAGCCGGTGAATCTGAAGCGAACGGCATTCCATGAAATGAATAGCGTCTCTAGAATCTGTGGTTCTGAGAGCACCTTCTACTCTACATTTCTGCAGTTGTTCATTTTTTTCTCCAGTTTCTCCATTGATCGGTGCTATTAATAACCAAATTAAAAACAACAACCTTAGGGAATGTAAGGCTACAGCGGCGGCGACACATATTTAAAATGTTCTAGATTGATGCTACACCTGTGACTTCTAGGCAACGGCAGCAAAAATAACGCTTACATGAATTCCCTTCCAGGTAACACGTGCTTCTTATGCTATAAACAATAGAAAAGTGTGCTAGACTGCAAAAGAGTACTTGGAAGCTCAAAATATCGCCGGATTTCACAACTTAAAACCTAGGGAAAAAAAAGCGGAGAGAGAGACGGAGGAATAATATCTAACGGTAATACGGATGCCTACGGATATCACTTCTATGATGGTATCCTCCATTTATCTCGAAACTAACCTCTCAGTTTTCACGCTTACTTAATTCAAAGTTGTTTGCGCAGTAATTATTAAGCTCGATACCAAGACGGTATTAATTATTACTAAAAAATAAAAAATAAAGGGTAGACCTGTCGGCGTTGATCAATTTCTCACGGATGCGCCATGCATTCGACTTCATTAAGTATCGTTTGGTGAATGAATACATATCTGGCCCATACAAAACGACTCACAGTGGCCTACAGATGCATCGAACCAGTCAAAGCGGCTATCCTCCCAGATCTGGTACCAATTTACCGAATCTGATAGAATGGAAGGCTTAGTGGGCCATAGGCGCGGGTATCGATTCCAGATGTGCGTTGCAGAACGCCTCCGACCACTGCGCCACGCGCGTCCTATTGATTATTACTACCGAGGTTAAATGACGGTTTGTTTGAAAATCACTGTTTTCCTATTCGCCATGTGCTAGATGACATAATACCGACTGCTGCAAGATGGAATATCCCTTGAAAAACAAATTATTATCAACTGATAGTCATATCAACAACATAAGTTCTGTATAAGAGTATTGCTGGGGAGATTGCCTCATTTGAACAACGTTCTACTGAAGACACCACATAGAGAACACGAACGACTATGGACCATCGACTCAGATCATTGGTTCTGAGGACGACGAACACGTTGAAACGTTAGCCGAATGAAACTTGTATAACAACCTTGTATAAGCCGAACATTCCAAGAAGTTACCATGCTAAATGTTCGAAAACACTGTGTTTTCGATGAAATTTCGGTGTGTTCGGTTATAACTAAATAGTCCTTTGTAAAACGATTAGTACCCCTCTGATTTCTTTGGATCAGTCACAAAGCACTTTCACAGTCGAGGAAAACACGCTCGGACTAGAAACACCGGAACAAACAAGCAATGACTAATCGTCTTTTATTCCTGGAACGAAAAGAACTCCTGTGTTTGTGCCACAACAAAAAAACGGACGAAAATAAATACGAAGTGTGTCTCTCAGCGAATCCAAAATACGTCAAATGGCGATCATGACGTGAAATTACGTATGCACATTGGATGTAGTTAGCGCAAAATTGTAGACAAAACGTAAACACTGTAAACGAATTAAACGAATTCAACGAACTGAGCATGACATTCATGAGATATTAATAATATTAAATGCTGTATTGCCGTAACTACTTCAGTTAAACACTTTTGTATTTGTATTAAATATATGCATCTTCATAAATTTTCATTTGAACCGACCGACTACGTCTCAACAGTTTATTTTTGCTATCTACTTTCACAGGACGCGCGTCCGTCCCCGCTCCCCATGCTGACAAAGCCCTCCATCCTTCCGGGGTCGGCAGATTGGTACCAGACTTGTCTTGGAGGATAACAGCACTGGCTCAATACATCGGTAAGCCACCACGGGCCATTGTAAAGGCCAGATATGCATTCAAACACCTCCAACGATGTTTAATGAAGTCGAATGCATGGCGCATCCATCAGGAACTGATCAACGCCGAGAGCTTCACCTTTTTATCGTTTATCTACTCTCATACGTTGCCTTTCATTTCCACTTAAAAAAAATATGCCTGATTAATTTAAAACCAAAACGATCATGGTTCAGTTGAATTTTGGACACTGTAACTTGTATGCAAGTCATTTCTATGCAAAAATTTCCGTCATATTTTCTTCCTAACTACTGATTAAAGGATAATGAATAAAGCTGTCGGAGTTGATCGATACCTGAGATGCACCATGCATTCGACTTCAACAAACATCATTAGAGGAAACTGAACGCATATCTGGCCTATTCAGTGATATGCAGTGATTGGTGATAGCCTACCGATGTACTGGATCGGTGGCACTGTCCTCCTAGACAAGTCTGATACCAACTTCGTGACCCCAAAGGGATGGAAGGCTTTGTGGGACCAGGACATGGCATCGAACCAACGACGTGTGCATTGCAGGGCACCTCTGATCACAACACTATATGCGCCCTTAGGTTAAAGGTATACATTATAAATGTAAAACAGTCCTGAATTTTATAGAATTTCTTAATAAAAATGACTTTCGTCACAAAATCACAGTCGACACGAGTTACTTCAAGTAGTCTGCTTAAGCGTTGCTTCGTTTCGGTAGCCTGACGGCAAATTTGTGCTTAAGATTTCTGCTCGCTATCGTTTCCACTAAAGAAAACATTGGGCGTTGATCTATCTCTTTCCGAGAGGTTATGCGCCATGTATTCAGTTCCATTAAGCATTGAATAAGTGACTGAATGCACCTGGCCTATATAATGATTTGTACGGACCTATCAAATGTATCCATTTGGGTGGTCATCCGGACCCGGATGGTGTAGTGGTGAAGTGCGCTGCTCCCCGGTAAGGACAACAGCGCTTGTTCGTTCTCCACTGCATACACCTGTGGTCCGGAGTTTTGCAAATATCTCAGCACTTCATACGAGTTATATTTCACAACATACCCTGCCATTAAGAAGAAAAAGGCAGTAAATAAAAGAGTTAAGATAGTGATGACATAGTTGAACAACATCGAGCAAAAGACCATGAAAATGTGCCAGCATAACCGTTGTGTACTTTTGCAAACAAGTACGATATACACAACCATTGACCCCGGTTGAGAGAGTCTCGCAGAGCACTTGAACATAAGCACACATGTTAGCCACAGTTAACTTGGTGATGACACATAACGAACTACGACCGCTATTCTCAACCAGCTCAGCTAGAAATATTCTTAGTAACTGAGGCATCATCGACCACCATAAATCAAGATGCACTTTGTTGTTTTCAAATCGTAGCTATTAGTGCTAGTCTATTTGCGGCCTAGGTGAATATGTGTTTAACAAGCGCTTTTTTCATGAAAAACTATTCGCAAATCGATACTGATAAAACCGCTTCGGTATAAAAAAAAAACTCTAAAACTATCAGTCAGTTCCAGTCTAAAACTATCGCTGTAGTAAACTCTTGTAAACAACGAAGAGCAATGAAATGAAGAGAATAGGAATCTCATCATAGATTCTTCATCACTTCTCAAATAGATGACCGTCGACATAATGCAAGAAAGTTTTGCGCAATTTCGTTTCGTCGAATTTCATCCATCCATAATGAGTACTCTGTGTGGATCACTACAGGTCGTCAGCAAAGTGAGAGAAGACGCATTTGCATGGAGTCCTCTAGGCGGGGAGCCCTGATCCAGGTGACCGCGAAATGTTTCCGTGAAACTCCGCTCAGACGACAAGCACAAATCAAACCCAACGATGGTTTACAACGTGCGTCAAAACTCACTCAACAATGACAAATACTAAGAGTGACTTCTCAGTTCCACGAACAGATGGAAAGTGCAACATGAGTGTCGTTGGTGGTCGAAAACATGGAAGAGCCGAAACACAGAAAGAAGTTTGCCATCGGTGCATTGAAATATTAGAGATCTCCGCGATTCAAGAAAAGTAAAAGCGTAAAGCATTAAAATGATTTTTCAGTTGTAGGAACACATGAGTGGCTCATCTAGCACTGCGCTGATGCAATGAATATAGAACACGCCACAATGCACACGTGATGGTTACATTGATCCCAAGTCTAAACTCAACCAAGCCCACCGTTCCTTTGAGGTCAGCAAGGTGGTAACAGACTTATCTGAGGAAAGAAAAACACTGACTTGGTGCATCACTTTTGGCCTTCGCAAGTTATTCTGTAGACCAAATATACATTCAATCACCTCTACGATGCTATAAATCTTGTCGACTCCATGCCGCATCCCTTGGGAATTAATCAACACCAAAGCCTCAACCTTTTTCTTTTAGCAGGAGATCAGAAGTGCAAGATGACTGCTGTGGTTCGCCGTTGGTGGTCAAAACACAGAAGAGCCAAAATGCAGCAAGAAGTACACAGGTGTCGGCAAACTCTACCCCTAAAAAGTTGTACACAACTGAAGAAAAAGCAGAAAAAAATCGTTCACTTTACGAACCTATCATTTACTAAATTATCTAAGCAGCCGTAATGTCTGCTCATCCGGAAATGCCAGAAAACTCACCATCAATTATTCCCAATTCGATAATCTCTTATTACCCTCTTATTTTTCTAAACTTCAAGGAACATAATGGTTTATAAATTGATCATTTTAAACAGGCCTTTTAAACGTACTTGCAACAACCTGCATATTAACCCCTTCAGACTTAATTATTGAGGGCGCGGGTAGCGCACTGGTCGAAGGCGCTCTACAATATACACGTGGAATCTTGATCCCCACCCTTAGGGCCCACTAAGCCTTCTACCTCTCCGGGGTCTGCAAATTGGTACTAGACTTGTCTGGAAGGATAGCAGCACTAGCTTGATACATCGGTAGACCACTGCGAGTTATTGTAAAGGCCAGATATGCATTCAATCACCTCCAAACAATGCTTAACGAAGTCGAATGAATGGCGCATCCCTCAAATATCGGTCAACCCCAACAGTTTTAGCTTTATTTTATCCAGACCTAATCAGAGATTACAAACATTAAATATAATTCTGCATGACAGATACTCTTAACGGAAAACGCAAACTGATGACGCTCTCAATGCTTTTCTGTACTTGAGCCTAGCGTGAAAAACTCTATAAATCTTCCTACTACCCAATATAACCACGTGATAAAATATCAGATCAACTATGTCCAATTTGCTCGAGAAATACAGAAAAACACCACACTACTGGGTGCCTACTATATTTGCCGTTTTCGAAAAAATTAAAGGTGGTTCCAAACAGGAATGTCAAACTAGTTCCCAGTTTAGATTGCTCCATCGACGAATAAACCCATAAAATCTCGCCTGTACACTACGCAGTTCAACACCTAGTATTCCTCTACCATACGATGAAACACAGTAAAACATCTATGGAGGCATGCTGTTCAACCGTGCTGAATAGATCTTTGCCAGTCAAAACGTTGTGGATATCTCTAAAGCATCGTAGATCCATCTAAAGAGTAATTGAACAGATCAATACGATGAAACCCGTATAAGTTTCATACAATTCTCTACTGTAATATGTTACTGTAAATGTAGCCATTCTGTCTATAGCTTTACTGACTAGTCATGGCAGTTGGAGGTTTGAAAGTGCTTCGCTTCAACGTCTTGATTACAGCTGATAAAAAGAAGTAACAAAACTATGAAGAAGAAAGTCTGCGATTGCAACTTCACGAACGATTCATTGGATGAAGTAAATCCTTCAATGTCCCAATTCAACAATAAAAAGCTTTGTGAAGCCAAATATCTCATATGATAGAAAAACCGAAATTTTTTCGTTAAATTGTCCAATTACCTCTAATTTGCTTACTTTACAAGAGATTGCGACTAAGTTGATTAGTTCTATTCATCTAGAAACCCACGTATTTCTAGAAAACGGTGTTAAGCCTATCGAAAGCACAAAGTTTACTTTTTATTTTCTGCTTACTACAATTCTCACGACAGGGTATTATGCGAAATACAACCACAACGATGCTGAGATATTTGCAGAACTCCGGACCGCACGTGTTGTCTGCGACGGAGAACGAACGCGCTATTACACTTTCCGAGGGCTAACGCGTTCACCACCACACCATGCGGGTGCTTCGTTGCGCCTGTCTCTCAGCTAGTCCTATCGATCACTCCCATCGGCAATCACCCGCCAACGGGATTGATCTGGGGTGCCCACATCTATCGAAAGTTTTAAACCTCTCTACACAACACGACAGAAAATAGTCATCTATCAAATCCGATGACAATAAGCAAATCAGACGATCAGAATTTGGAAAAAAGCAAGAGGATAAATAATGGCTCCTTGGCTTTTCTGGTTTAAAGAATAACAGACTGTCAGTAGTAACAAAGTAACAGGTAACTGTCTCATAATCCGTGCATGTCCCATTAACATCGTGATAAATGGTGGATTGCGCACTCATTTACTCATAAATGAGTTTCAGAACCCTAAGCGTATTCAGAATCACACTTGATTGAAAATGATTCAAACTGAATGAGTATACGGATTTATTTTAAATGTCAATGAAACAACAACTCACATAATAGCTGAACTTTTACAGTAATAGCTGAACATAGCTCACCTTTCGGTGTACGTTTTGTGAACTCAGGATCAAAGTACAATGTGCTATCGATTGTGGTCACAGCTGGTTTGAACGGTGGTGAGATTTCCTTTCGTAATAATCGATCGAAATTGACTGATGTAAAGAAGGAATGACGCTTGATCTCCTGTAAGAAGCTATAACGCGAAGCGAAAACTCCAGAGCTATAAAAACAAAGAAACTGAAAAAAATCACTGAGAAATGTACGTGTTATTAGCTATCAAAACGTTGAAAACTTGTTTTAAAGAAACGTTATAAGCAAAAAAAGAACCTGGTCTTAACTGGAAAATTCCCTTAGATACACACTCTAAGGTTTTCTTCTCAGGACTCAGCAGTGTTGTAAGCACGTATTCTGATCAACAATCACTACCCTGCTCTTCAGACTTTAACCATGACACTCTTATTTGAATATCGGTGTTGAGCGAATAAAAAAGAAGAGATAGATAATAGAAAAAATAGAAGCACCATGCTGCCATCTGGACCGGCTCCGAGTCGATTAGCCGCATTTCGTTTGAAGAGTGCTCGAAGTAGTGATTGAGCATCCGGTGACAAAAAATGCGGCATTGTAAGTTTTGCCCTGAAATTTCCGTACTTTACAAAAACTGATCAATAATGCTTGAATAAAATTCCATATTGATGCCTTGACAACAGATCATATGGTCCGAAAAAAGAACAAAACAATGGAAAAGACTGAAACACAAAACTGATATGAAAACAGTTGTGCCTTCTTAATATTGTTCGTTCAATAATTCTTTGTTGCATTTCAGATTATGTGCACCTGATACATCACATGTGTCTCCATGATTCCTCCACACTCCTCCTGCATAGAAAATTACACCTTCCTCTTAATTAACGAGGTAGGAAAACAGCCCAAAAACCTTTGCAGTTTTATTGCGTTACTGAGCTTCAACATGATACGCTAAAGCTAGAGTTCCATATTCCTTTGTGTTATGATTCCATATGAAGTCCAAAGGCTTTCTTCAGTACTGCCCTATAGATATCCCCCAATGTATTAGTTTTTCAGTGTCTACAGTCAATATTACATCCAGATACCGACTGATGAAGATGAGAATGAAAAAGCAATCGCAGGAACGTGAAGAATCTGTGATATCACATTACGAACCACTATAAAATAACTCGTCACATGCATGCATAGAGAAAATTCCCTGCTTTGTGGATATTACCGATAGCATTTCTTGTAATGACAGATTGTGAGAAGATTCCCTCAGAACAACTGCATGAAGTGCACGTGCTGGTGATCTCTCACATGAACCCACTCGATGGAAGCTCGTTTAATCGATACGCACGGTTTGTACATCACTTTGGAACAACTTCTCGATGGTGTCATAGTGTTCACGTAATGTTTCAGTATAAGATAAGGAATTCTAAGATTGAGCGTTCGCGAAACGATTTCAAAGATATAGAGGTGAATAAGCGAGTTAAGGCAATATTTTCGGCCACAAACAATAAAAGTGGCTTCACAGAAAAAAAAACCTTGCTACTCGTGTCTCTCGACTGAGCAAAGTCCACAGGGTTACTATTCTAATGAAGGTAACGACAAATAGATACTTTACTAATGATAGTCTTGGCCACCAGAAGACTACCGAGATTACACGGTCGGTTGGTCTTTATTGTATTCTTGTAAGGATACTTGTAAGGTGTTTTGATCAGATGGAGATAATCGACAACTATGATAAACGCGACTTCTCAAATTTTTTAAATTTCTATTTTTAAACTAAACTAAAAAATAATAAAAACTAAATAAAATAGATGAACTAAAAAATTTAGTGAATTTCTACTCAAACTTCTTTCCATGCCATATTCCGTTAACATTACGGAACACAGCAAACCAACTTATCAGCTGTTATTTTCCTAAGTTTTAATTCGCACTAAAGTGTTCATTTCTCCTGCCTTAAGCCCATTTTAGGCAATCAAACCAACAGCTTATAATCTTCGATATCAATGGAGATTTCATAGAATTCAGTTTCTTCAGAATTAAGCCATCCTCCTTATTTTCCAACGAAAACCGTCGCAAAGAGATTTCATTGAAAAACAAAACCGAATCAGCTACATAATTGATACCGTTGAATTCGTCATGGGAACGCGTCGAGTATAAACTGAGGTCGTCCGCTTTCGTCTCACAAACATCTTATTTTCGGGAACGGATAAGCAATCGATTAATATAAAAGTAACAGACACGTCGTACAGAAATCGTCTATGCTAGTCAGTTCACGCACCTATTTCGTACTTCTACTCGAACGCCTTAACCGTTCTTCATGTTAGGAAAACAACGGACAACATGAACATGAACATGAACGGAAAAGATGAAGACCACTTTAAACATACCGCACCCTATCCCGTATCCCATTTATCCAGATCTTCTTCGTAAAGCATCTTTTTCTATCACTCATTCCCAATGAGAATCCTATCAGACCAGTTTTGCGACAACTATTGATTTCCTCGTTCATTTTCCCACCTCTCGTCCGTTACGCTACTCGAAGCTATTTTTTGATCCATTCGAAGAATCATGAGAACCTAAGCACAACAGCTTCTAAAGGACTCCTTGATCAAAAGCTAACCTTACCTTTTGTAAGCGACTGACAAAATTCTTTATCAAACATTCCTTTCCTCCTTTCTCAAGTAAGACCTCCCATATACCTATGGAACGCCAACATGGATCAAATTTCTGTATCAACACACTTCTTTTTTCATACATCGTTCAACGGACAACTGTCACAAAACAAAAACTCGTCAATCCAACTCACTTTAAAATTTGTGTCATCGTATCCTTTCGATCACGACCTTGAAATGGTAGATGTCCAGTGAGCATTTCAAACTGAAAGCACAACAAATACTTTGCAAGTTATCTTATTACGAATACAGCACTCTTCTTACGGTTCTTTTTTCTCTCTTCCATCCTCATAAAGAAGATGAATAGTGCAAATCTTAGAGGAAATATGAGCTATACCAACAGGAAAACATCCACATTTTCTTTTGTCGATAATGTTTAATTCAATACTTCTATCCAGTGGAGAACGGGATAAAAAGAAAAACACCTTGATAAATCTATGATAACATCTAAGTAGTGAATCAAGAACTTCTACGACTCTTTCAATTTCTTCGAGAGATGGAAATAAGGAGATAAGAATTGAAGAGGAGGAGCTAATTGGAATACGGTAAACTTTTAGTGGGATCAAAAGGAAATAGCAAGAATAGAAACGGAAAGAAATGCTCACTAAAACATAAAATAATTAGATATATAAGAAAAGCAGGTTTTTATACCATGTAGACAGATAGGTATAACAACAACTGAGAATGAAAATAACAACATTAAGCATAAGGGATTTGTTTTACCCTTCTACCTAACTTACACCAAGTAAATTAACCTGCTTTAAACAATGTGAAATCTTGGATGAATCAAAGAGTAGCGAAAATAAAATACCAAAACCGGGGATAGGAAAAAGGAAGAACTACTTCATCATAATATAAAACACTGAACATACGAGAAAAGTAAACTACCTAATAGTAAAACCCGAAAATGAATCTACTGTTTGAAACGAAGGACCCGCATGGTGAACGTGTTAGCCCCAGGAAAGGGTAATAGCGCGTTCGTTCCCCACCGTAAACACCTGCGGTCCGGAGTTTTACAAATACCTCAACATCATTGTTGTTGTATTCCGCATTATGCCCTGCCGTGAAAAATTGTAGTAGGCAGCAAATAAAAAGTTAGCAGGAAGGAAGGAAGGCGAAATCCGCCGAAACGTCAGCTTGTACGTAAATAAAGAAATAAAATAACACCTCGTGATTGCTGAACAGAAGTAGAAAGAATTAAAAAGCAAACGAAAAATCAGAAAAATTAGTGGAGAGTGAAAAACAGACGGACGCAGTATCATGTGATTATCCATCCAACGATGACGTTTTCTTTATTTTTTCCTTCTTCTATTCAACAGCATCCAATTTTCCCCATTGCGATGACATCATCGGAATTGGCACCACGTTTTTTTAAGGCTACAATCAGCACCCACGTGTCAAATTTGTGCAAAAGGAAAATAATTGGATTATTCGTATATTTGCAGATAAAACACAAATTTTGTAAAATGTATGCGTTCAGCTACCTGCATATAAGAAAATTTCTAAAATTATTTTGAAAAATTCGAATAAAAAAATATGCCCCATTATGTGAGCATTTAATGTGTCAATAGCATGATAACCTAAGAATTCAAGGAAGTCGCTGGACAACCTTTGATGTGACACACTTTGATAGACCATCTAAACTTGAAAGAATTCAATATCGAAACATTATTACTATACTATTTGTAGCGCAGTAGTTACAGACGTTGCAGCGCACACGTGGCGCTGGTTCGATTCCGCACCCTGGGCTGGGAAAGCCTCCGTCCCTCAGAACTTGGTCAACTAGTATCGAATTTGCAGGGAAGACAGCAGGATGACATAGGTCAGCTCAACTCATTCTGAATGCGAGATATACACCCAATTAGCTCTACCCATCTTTTCGACTCAACGGTACTTCTTGCGTTAATGTTAGAAACCTCGTCACTGCGTAAGTAGGACGAAAAATCACTTAGCGTTATCGAACGCGCAGTCGAAAGGATGATGCTAGGAGTATCTCGTTTCACACAAGTAAGGGAAGGGATCCAAATCTCCAACCTGCGTCAACGATCAAAAATTAAAGATTCCGTTCTGTACGCCAAATAGTCGAAGGTAAGGTGGGCCGGACACGTAATGCGTATAAATGACAACTGATGGACAAGAGCCGTTAGTGACTGGATTCCTCGGGATGTCAAACGTGCTGCAGGAATACCACCGGCCCGATAGTCAGAGCTCTTCACGAAGAGCCTAAAGAAAGATATGATGCTCGCCGAGTCCCTAGAGCGAGGAGAACCCACTGGGCTACCCTTGCGCGAGACAGGGAAAAGAAGATTTATTGGCACCCGCTCGAGTCACTCGACGACCAACGGGACTACAGGTGATACAGATGAATAAAAAATTTCGAAGTGAAAGTGTTTGACAGAGTAGATCGCAGCCCAATTTGACCGACTTTTTCTTTTTTTTTCTTTTCTTTTCTTAACCTCATCCTGACCGACTTTTAATCTGACCTTTCCAGGCTCCGAAGAAGTCGAAACCGACGAAACGTCGGCTATTGTATCCTAAAAAATTTCAGTTTTCACTAGAGATCTTCCTTCAAACAACTCAGCGGTCTCTGATATTTCACGGCAATAATCTTGTTTTCCGGCTCAGTATACTTTACTGCGTCCCATGTTCCTGAGAGACTTCCAGTTCGTTAAATTCACTACAAGTAATCACTCTAATTGTCATTAGGAGACCAAAGACCATTTAATTCGAGTGTTAGTGAAGTCAATAATTAATTTATATATACCACTTAGTACTCGAAATCTGAGATCTAGAAATCATCGCTCGAAAAAAAACGATTCCATTTTCAAAATAAAAAAGGAATTTTGTAAATACGAAAGTATGCTTGTGCTGGTTTCTATAGAAAATGTTGATAAAACGAAACAATGGAAGAGATTTTTGTATACGATGGTCATCTTGCACATATCCACAGATACTCACTGCCTCATTGTGACTTGGAAATTGCTCATGATGGATGTAAAATGTGAACCACAGCGAGGAGTTCAACTTCTCTCACCCAACAACCCCCATTTTCCCCAACCATAAAAGCATAGAAGAAGTGCAACATGTCGTCATCCGGAAGACCAACGAGGAAATCAATGACAGCCAGGAACCGCGGTCATTTTCTCGGAAGAAAACCTTGCGTTCGAATGAGTTTCTATCTTCCCTTTTTCCTCTTTCAATGATAAGACACTAAATCGAACTTTTTGAAATACTTAAAAAGAGAAGTGTTTAAGTATAAAAGTCAATTCCTTCTCAAGACATATTTAGCTTCTCCTTTTATTTACTGCCTATTATTTCTTCATCATGGCAAGGTTTTATGTGAAATACAACCACAGTGGTGTTGAAATATTTGCAAAACTCGGAACCTCCAATGAGCTTTGAACTCGCGACTACCCTTTTTGTGACTCAAGCGTTACCCACTGCACCATCGACGGCCTTGTTTTGTCTCTCTATCCGCCGGTTTTTTTTCACTAACGGTGCTATCAGTAATCATCAGCCAGGGGAAATGATATGGGTAGCACATATCGGCATTGAACCCAGTTAAACTTGGTTCCACTTCTGTAGTGATCCTGATGCAAACAACGACTACAGGCCTTATAAAAAAGTTATTTGTGAATTATAAAGTAATTCTAAGAAGAACACGAAGAAATACTTCACCAAAACACCTATTACTTCCACATTGCAGAATTCACCTCAAGTACAAAGATAGAGTAATAGCATCAAGAAAGAAAGTCTTGCTCATCAAGAAAGGAGTTAATTATTAACCGTATTCCATTCACAACAGAGTTGGATAATAACAAAACTATTAAGGAAAGGAACAGAAAACCGGAAAAAAAACGGCCACAACCTTCAAACTTCGAAATGAACCTTTTCGACCATTGTTCCATTTGTTTAGAAAAACAAATCATCATACTTATCCCAAACATACCATTAGAACTCCAAGCGACCAAAAATCAGCAGCACAAGAATGTCCGCGTCGATTTATAACTTCAGGAGCCATATATTCGATGGTCCCTAGAAAATACCCATTTGTTTGTGATTTGTGGTTACGAGACCAACAGACTTGTAAAAAAAACGTCAAAAATAAGACATTTCATCGGAATCAATACAATCGATATTTAAAGAAAAAGTGGACGATTTGAATGTAGATCAATGGAACAAATAATTAAGAAAATAAGCACATGACGATATTTTCTTTGCCTAAGCTCTTATATATGGGCTTCTTTCTACTTAGAATGGAAAAGACATATTCATGTAAATGTAGTAAAATGAACGTACCACAAAAACTGTACGTCTTCTTTTCACTATCAATCGACTCCTTACTAAGACCAAAATCGGTGACTTTAATGTGACCGTCAGCATCCAGCAAGATACTGTAGTTTCAGAATTATCGTATCTACTCTGCCTACAGCTTCTCAAAAGGACCAAAATTACCACAAACACCTACTTTTCAGGTTTCAAGTCCCGATAGACGATTCCCAATGAATGCAGATGCTCTAGAGCCAATGTTAATTCAGCTAGATAAAATTTCACATCTTCTTCTGTGAACATCACCTGAATAATCGTCGGATTATTTACGTATATGAACCACCGTACCGTTTGAGATTAACGTTAATGTACTTTGGGAAGAACAAACAAATACACTAAGGCCTCCAAAGATCGCAAAGTACATTCAAAGTTAAGACGTCATAGTTAGTTCGCATCCAGTAAACATGTAAGCTTAAGCTTTCGCAGTTCCAAAGAAGATAACTCTGCTTTCTAGAACATAGAGAATCCCAAAGAAATTCAGCTATGGCCTTTTCCTTTTTGGTTTTTTCACAGTACGTGTAATTCTTCAATGAGAACCGCAGGCTAGCAATGCGAAAAACAAGAGAAAGGCGAATTTATTTGATATATCAGGATTGAATTCTCAAACTCTGGTTCATCCGAGACAGAACTATCGCTGAAGCTAAAGTCCATTATTTCCCATGAACTTCTTATGACAGCTGTACTACCTATGAGTCCTATCAAATTGGGAGAACCTTAAATCAATGAAAAAATCCCTGAAGTGTCTTTAGAAATATGTATTTAGATTGTTGAGGTCACATGAGGATGACAAATAGACTTATTCGGCTAACGTTTCAACGTCTTCGTCTTCATAAGAGCCGATGATGGAGAGAGAAAGATCAAGATTTCATCATAAACAGACTTTAGCTTCATATCATTATACAGAGGCTACCCTTTAGAAAGATGAATCCCTCATTTAATTTATGACAAATGCCCCGACTTAGAGATTAGTTGTTCTAGGTCCAACATAAGATTTTTGCCGAAGCAGCATCACCGACTCGATTGAACACACGCTCCTCTTTTGACGTAACTAAAAACCTTTTCCATTCAATGTAAAAGTCTCGTGTTTAGTTTTATGACGTATGTTTGTTTAACAACATCAAATGAAAGAACACTTGAAAGTTTCACTTTTAATCCATTCACTTACGTCCACGGTCAGAGCTTCTACGAACACAATTCTGGAACATCTAGTCAACTTTCGAGAAACTTGGACTTATGTAATTTCTTTCTCAAAGAATCAAATATTCAAAAACGTCGAGTACAGAAAGTCGCCTTAAATTCTGGCGAATTTCTAACAAAAGCGCTATACGAACGCTTATATAAGTATAATTATGTTGATGTTTTATAACCATGAAATAATAGCGACGCGTGTGGCGCATTGGTCGGAGGCGCCCTGCAATGCACACAAGGGATCGATCCCCGCACCCAAGACCCATCAAGCCGTTCATCCCTTCGTGGTTAGCAAAATTGTACCAGACTTGTCTGGGAACACAGCAGCATTGGCTCGATACATCGGTGGGCCACCGTGAGTCACTGTAAAGGCCAGAAATTCATTCAATCACCTCCAAACGATGCTTAATGAAGTCGAATGCATGGCGCGCCCTCAGTATTGATCAACGCCGAAAACTTTATTCTTTGCCCTTTTATAAAGTAACAGCACCTTTAGAAATCAGTTTTAAAAAAATGGCATATCTTGCCGTCGGAAAGTACACTAAAAATAGTGTTGATGCCCACACATGTATTCAAAGAAAACTGACATTTTCCTTACATAATTACGATCTCTTTGAAAAGTAAAATGGAAAAAAACCCCGTTGTATTTGGTTTAGAAGCCTGTTTTTTTTAGTTGGTTGAAGAAAAAAAAACGTATTTGACCGAACAGCGACAAACCTCTTTTGATAACCTTGTGAAAAGATCTCCTCCTCGCAAGAAATCCAGTATCAAGTACAATTTCCCTTCTGTTTGAAAGGCTGAAAGCAAAGTCGTACTAATTGCTGTACTCGTTCTACGACAATTAAGGAAGAGTCTGAGAAACACAAACCATTCAGCTAATAATAAAACTCGGATGTATTCCAACAGAGGTATCTTTCAATAATAACTGCTTTTTTTAAACAGGGTCTCTATTATGTGAGAGACTGCAGAGTAAACGCCATTATAGCTGGGCGCCTAGATGAGCAGATTGATTTGAGACAAGGATGCGAATGGATTTCGAAAACGGATCCCTTGTTTCAGGTCCACCGTATTTACCTGTGACCATCTCTCAGACGTATCCAGCTACTTTCAACGGTTTTTTCTTCTTTTCACAAAAGAAAAGAAACAGTTAAGATAAAAGGCGTTGTATGAAAATGGTGATGTTTCCTATGCATTCAATGAGTGGAAACTTTACTCGTGCCCATTGTTGTCTCTCGTACACTGTCGGAATCATAAATGGTAAAGGTGGTTGCTTCTGAAAGTAGGTTAGTCGATTTTTGGTTCTCAGGTTAGAGAAGTAGACGATGGTTAATAGAAAGTACGTAGTTCTTATTAGTGAGACTCGTCCGCTGTCCAACTATGAAAGCATTTGAGAAGGGACTTCTCAGACCGCAAGCTTGAGCTTTTTTTCTTTGAATATTATCTTATCTCGTAATTCAAATGACGGAACTCAAAAATACGAAGACAAAATATAAACTTGGAGCTGATGACGTTGGTAAAGTACTATACTTGGTTATCAATTAAGATAAAGTCGCTTACTAACTATATGGAATGGACTTAACCAGAACCGAACTCTAATGCAATCTGACAGGGAATGAAGAAAAAAAAATTCACTGCATTGACGTTACTAGTGATTAATGACAGCTGCGGGTCTTGCAGATGTTTTCCTTTTGTAATACCAAAAATCACCATCGTCCTGGTATCAAACTACTCGCATGGTGGCAAACCTTCCTCTGATCCACAAGAGTTGCGGCTACCTGTGATGGTGACGACAAGGGGAAGGTTTCAGCTAGGCTGACCTCGGTACTCCAGAGAACCACGATGGATAAAGCAGCAAATCTCCGGAGAATGGAGATTATACTGAGGGCCGCACAACCAACGAAGACGTGCCATCCAAATATCCAATTAATTAATAGCTAAGTACAGCCATTTAAATGTGTTAAATATTTAATCAGTGGGAGGACCGACTCATTTCTATGCTTAAAACACCTTGGAACTACTTGTACCTCATATATAATGACTCAGTCATGATGTTACTCTTTACAAAATACGTATAATCTTAACAGAAACATCTGTAACTAACAGCAAGTGAGAACTGACTCCGTTTCAGTGACGACTTCTCACACACAGGTGTTCATACCCAGACGCAAATATACTGAGTACGGCGGCCGTGATATCGATTACCGCAAAAGGCAGGAAATTGACGCGTTTAGGGTTTTTTGCAAAAAAAAAAAAAGAAAGAAAACGAAAAGTTTGACTGTAGAAGATGCAAAAAGAAATGTCGACAAACGATCCTCAAAAAAATGAACATTTTTGTGCTCGATTTAGTTCCAGCTCTTGAGAGCGCTAAAATGCAGTGCCACTTTTAAATACATGATCAACCACATTGAATTTCAGTTCATGAATTGTTCAGTAGATAGCAAACACATTCATCAAATTGTTCTTCTGGGTCATTTACTTCCCAGACAACTTCAGCTACACAACCCTGAAAGCACAGATGAAGGCGAATGTGATGGCATACATCGGCACGATTGGTCAACAACATGAATATTCTCCCTTACGTTCACGTTTCTCTTTTATAAAGTTCAATACGTACTTCACTATACGGTCGACTCGAATGACTGTGCAATATTTAGCTCGACAAAATTACCTATACACTGGTAGGATATCAATTCTTTTTCAGTGAAAAAACGGACGAATCTAGCCAAAAGGAGATTTCTTCAATGCGATGAAGAGGAACTAAAACGACAATCACCATAATCGGTCGACTTCGTGCTACTTGATTGACGACGATGATGGCACATCCGAAATTCTGGGTCCCTACGGTGTTGCAAGCAGATTTACCGTAATTTGTACTCTGCACTCTAAGAAAATTTCTGCTCTCTTCTTAATGTGGCCCTCGACGTCACTAGAACGTGCTCTATTTAAACAGCTAAGAAGGTGTTGTGACCAAATAACATAGTTGACGCAAAAATACACAAATATACACGAAATTTCATCGCGAGCGTTGCAAAAAAAAACGCACGTACACAAAAACGGGACGATGAAAGAGACATGATAAAGAATTCTATGACGTTATTGTCAATATTCCAGTGCATGTGGAATTTCTCTTCAGAGAGTGATGACATGAAAAGGAAAGAGATGAAAGAAAAGCAAAAAACTGACCATAATGAAGTTTGACGATAAATGGATGAGAGATATGTGCAAGAATATTGCGCTCCATCTTCGTGCGTAGACGGTCACGAACTTTTAATGTAGCTTTCTTCAATACCTTAAGAAAGCTATATTTGGCCTACTATGGATTTTCATTAGTGAGCTAGAGACGAACATAAAGTTTTATGAATACCATTAGAATACTTTTTCCTTCTACGACTTCTACGACACCAACGTGCAAGATTTAATAAACGGCTGGCGCTAGTCGAATGTCAACGCTTTCAATTTTCCTTCTGCTACCAGTAACGTTTTTTTTTACACTACTAAGATTCACCGGCATCAGCCAGTGTATCATAAAGCTTCTGTCTCCATATCATTCTAATCTGCTAACCAACATCAAAAAGATATAAACAGGTAAGAAAATGTGTAATAAACATAATGTATAAGATCAATAATAATAATTAGTGACGATTTAAATGACAATAATATGGATGATAATAGCAGAATCAGATTAGGAGGCACTGATAAAGTTTTCGAACCGAAAGTATTATTAGTGTTTGCTTTTTAATTACTTCCTACTGTTATTCTTCTCAACGGTTTACCGCCTCATTGTTGCTATGAGGTGTTTCTGGGTATCGGGCTACGATATACACCGGGCGGATTTATCCCCGCAGGACCTCGCATGCTGAGAAAGGAGTCCGGCGTTTCCATCAAAAACCCTAGCTAAGAATAAACCAATACCAGGATCCACCACCGTTCTGGTATCAAAATCACATGGTGGTAAATGTCCTTCTGATCCACAAGGGTGGCGACTGCCTATGGTGGTGACGACCTGGGACATACTTTGCCTAACTGAACCTGGAGACTCCAGGCAACCACAATGGCTTATTCAGTAAAATTCCGAAACATTGTAAATTATGCTGGGGCCAGTGAAGATGGGCCAAGTACAAAGTATATATATATATATATGTATATATACGTACATGTAAGTAAATACACACATATATATGTGTAGGACATAGGTCACATATTTACTGTCTCCTTTATCTCAGGGTCGCGTCTAGCGCAGTGGTCGGAGGCACCCTGCCATACACATAGGATCGATCGCCGCGCCCCAGGCACTGGCTCGACACGTCGGTAGGCCACCGCGAGCCATTGCAAAGGCCAGATATGTGTTCAATCACCTCCAAACGACGCTTAATGAAATCGAATGCATGGCACATCCCTCAGCGATTAATCAACGCCGAGAGATTTATGCTTATGCTTATTCATATGTATATGCATTATATATATATATATATATATATATATCTCAACATCAAGAGATGTCTTTTTTCCTTATCTTCAGATTGGCTCTCAATATCGCTTAGTTGTTGTTCTCGTTAGTAAACGAACTAAGATCAATAATTACGGTTACTAGAAACAACTAAAAAACATGTTGATTGCTTTTGTTGTCATACTGGCTACTAACAAGTTTTATTGGAGCAGGCTATGGTGATAATGAAAACATTACCCAGATGAGTTTTTCGTTCTCATCAATCTCATCATCATCAACAACAACAACAACAACAACAACAACAACGACGACGACATAACAAACTCCATCCGCTTCATCATTATTACGCTATAATTAGTTCGTCGTTTACTGCCTAATGAAAAACGCAATGACGTCACCGCCACAGCATAATTTGTTGCTGAGCTCCCTAAGTGACATCATCAACGAAAAGAAGAGGAAGAGCAAGAGCAAGAGGAAGGACTAAAACAAATCACCATTATGATATATACGTAGTAGCTCCGATTAGATTTATTTATACTTCATTTATATTTATTCATATTCCATTCCTTTATATTGTATTATTCGTTTACGGGAACGACATCAACTAGTAAGAGTAAAAACACATGTTTAAACGATAAGAATGAATGAAAAGCGTGGTATGATTGTGAGCATTATGAAATGAAATGGAATGAAATGAACTCACTTTCATCGCATAAATCTGTCCCGTATCACGGCCGCGAATTTTTCGCACAAGAAAAACTTTTCCGAATGAACCTTGACCGAGTACCTACCAAAGGTCGAGTAGATTTATTTGAAGAGGAAATAAAGGTCAATCCATAAAAACGCACGACAATGACAACTTCAATTCGACGTCATTGAAAAGAATTCTCTTCGAGAAATTAGTGAAGGGTGAGGACGGAAATAACTGTCGTCGTGTATGAAAGTGATTCGATTCTCTCTAACAAGATGATTCACTCACTTTAAGTAGTTCGAACTGCCTTGCGTCAGCTTTCTCGCCGCATTTACGAATTTCGCTAATGTCGATTTCAGCCAGACTGTCTGTCTATAATGAGAAAATTCGGAGATTTTGAAAGAGCAGAAAACGAACAGAAATGACATTTTAAAAAAAGGTTAAGGACTAATTCCAAGGCTAGCCGTTTGGATATTCTCGCTAATCCGTCTAAAATCCGAAAGGTTTTCGACATGAGGTGATACTTTTTGTGAAAAAGTCCACAAAAATCTAGGGATAATCGATGTGACGTCACTGATATTGATTTTTTACAGTTTGCAGATCGAACAGCTGCAATACGAAGGAGCAAAGAAAACACTAATTCAATTATTCTGGCTAGTTTTTATTAGAACTTAGTAACCAATCGGTAATAAACAATAGCACATACATTAAGATGGTAGGTAAAAGTCGCTAAAGAATAAGACGCACCTACTGAAGGAATGTTGTAAAGTATAAGAAAGGACAGAAAGAAAGAAATAAAACTGCTTGCATAGCACTACCTAAGTCCTAATCAAGTTCCTAATGAAAATTTTTCTCTAGAAAATCTCCCAGATATGAAGTCGATGAGAAGAGATTCAAAAGCAAAAGCTGACTTCCTGATGAGGTTTACTGCTTTAAGAATTCATTTCTAAGGAATTTAACTCTCCTCGCACTCAAAGAATGTAACTATAAGTAATAATTACATTTTAAAAAAAACTATCTCTTGATATAACTTCAATGATGCTGAAATATTTGCAAAACTCTGGACCGCAGGTGTCTATGGTGGGGAATGAACGCGCTATTGTCCTTTCCGGGGAGTAACGCGTTCACCACCACAACATGCGGGTCCTTCGTTTCGCCTGTCTCTCAACTAGTTCTATCGATCTTTGCCACAGTGATAGCTTGTTGAACTCTTACAAAAACGATCGCATTCAATGGCTGTATTAGAACTCATTCGATGTTAATAAAACGTGAAAAGGTGCTTAAGCCCATCGTTGACGTAAGCCAAGATGCAGAAGAAATGGGGAATAACACTAAATGGCTGTGACATCAAGCCTCCTCTACCAGGACGGAAGATGAAGGATGGAAAGATGAGTAACTGTGAGTCAGCTTTGTATCGTTCTGATGGAAAAAAAGAACTGGTCTAAACCTCTATCGAGGACAGAACCAGACTAATCACATCTCGAGAAGAGTGAAGGACCGCAAAGATATGTCTAGAGTAGATCAGCGTTGGAATTCCGACAGCGAAAGCAGGAAAATGTCCAAAATCAGAAAACGGTCGAACATTTGAGTTCTCTTAGCCGATCCCTCATTTTCGGTTCCGGGTTATTCCAAGGTATTACTTAAAGCGAAATATTAGGTGTGAAAACGAGAACAAGAGGTAAGTAGAGGAATAGTTTAAAATTAACAGACATGGCACACAAAACTTTAAACGAATTTGCAGTTAAAGACCTCATTGAAAAGAATTCATAAAACCTAAATGATCAAATAAAATACAAATAAATGAGAGATTGCTGGAAATAAACGGTTCACCTGAATTGATCGCGGCTCATCGTCTGATGCCCCCATCATGTGGATTCGATGTTGTATAAAACAAATGGGAGTTTCTAATGACTGAAATTAACGGACCAGAAGGTTTGTCGTCTGGTGACGTTTCAATAGAGCCCGAGAATATTTATATGAATAATTAATGAACTGTAGGACGGACGATGACAGACGACGATGACAACTACGAAGTCGACGAGACCGTCGATGCCGGGGCGGGATGCGTACTCTCCTCCCGCCGCCGGCCGCGTCGGCTCGGCACGGCTCCGCCTCCGTACGCTCATGTTACCCACGAAGTCGTTCGTCATTTTTCGTGCACACATCCAAGTGATGATGAATTACGATGAGACGTTGAACACGACCGGTTGCTGATCTAGTAGACGACGAATTTTCTTATAAATTATATTCACAGAGTATTAACAACACATACGGGTATTCTATGAAGGAGGAACGACCAGACAATCCCTGAGGGATGCGTCAGAAATTCAACTTCATTCAGCATCGCATAGGTGAATGAATGAGTATTTGGCTTATACAGCGATTTTCAGTTGCTCGGAGTATGAAGTCGGTGTTTTCATACTCCTACGCAAGTGTGGTAGCAATATGACGACCGCGGAGAGATGGGGCCTAGTTAGCGAGAGGCGTGGGACCGAACCGCGCACTGCTTGTGTATTGCACGCCACCTCTATTGTCACTGCACTACGGAATTCTTTCGGATCTAAGAACCGACGAAGCTATGAAGAATGACAAAAGTTTCCTTTTCATAAAACACGGTTTCTAGAACTATCGGTGGTAAACTTTCTTGTGAACTAATTCTGTAGAGAACTGAGCTGGAATTCTACTAGACTTAAGAATCGAAGAGGATGTGAAGAATCAGAATAGATTGCTGCAGACGACCTTTGAAGAATAAAGTGGGAACATGGGACCTACGTATAAGGTTAACAACGTAAGATCATCAATACTTTACGAATAGCTTTTCTTCTTGTTTGAAACCAAACCACATACTACTATAAAGAGCTATCAGAATCATTTCATTTGAACTGTGACGACGCAACGAACCTCTGACACCGTAAATCGTAAGCCTCCATATCAACATTCTTCTTGTAAAAAATATTCAAAAGATAAAAAAGATATATCGTAGATTGAAACAGGAACAGGCAGAAGAGAAAATGTGTATGGAAATGAAAAAAAATGAAGCAACATGACGCGATCCGGGTTCACTACGCCTCTTCATGCAAACTGACGAGAAATAAAAAACGTTTTTGCTTAATAAAACATGTTGCCGACAAATAATCGTATTTTTTAACGCTATGATTTCCTTTCCTCTGTTAAGAACGTAGACTTTTAAATAAATTGACCATCAGACCTGAACGGAAATGCATGGAAAAAGAAGGAACGACTGTGGTCGTCGATTTCTCGTATTTTCGAAAACGAGAGCTCTGCATCATCACTTAGCTCTGCCGTGATGAAGAGTGCTCAAAAGATTTCGTCATAAGGAAAATATTCTCCATTCTTAAAGTTTACCAAAAAAAAGACGGCGATTGGGACGACAAACTCGCCTACAGCAGTTTTGAGGGTGGTTCCTTAATGTCACATCGACAGAGCGTTATCGTTGGAGAGAATAAAAAAAGCGTCTAACTTGCCGACTAAGAAATACACCAGTTCCACTAAGAGATAGAGGGCCTTCAATAACGGGGATGTAATCTGGTCTAAAGAGACACCTATACTACGCTAGGAAGGGCTGTGGTCCCCATGCATTGATTTAAATGCATGTACGTAGCCATCTATTCAACGAATCCCGTTTCACGTCAATTTCCGCGTTCTAGAAATTAACTGTAATTCGGGCGATAATTCCTTCTTCAACTCCGTAAAATTTTCCTAGAGAAGTCAGCAACTGGACTAATTTTGATTCAAATCGTCTCATGCAATTAAGTTCTTCACCATCGCCACAAACTCTTCGGAAATCCGCATGAAACCACCTCTTCGAGGATTTCATCCATTGTCTTTTTATTTAAACTGAACGAACTACGAACATATCCGATGACGATTAAGCTGTTATTCATAGATTCCTTTACCTCTTAACCATGGGTTAAACCCATAAATTCTTTTATCCTTAGTGTTAAGTCATATATTTCATATCAAGTCATTAGCACTGATTAAGTTCTCCATGTTTAATATTAAGCTGTCGTTTATGGTTTTCGATCAATAATGTCGATAGTATTCCGTCACACGCCATCACAGGACCATAGGAAGAGAAAGAAAAAACAGAAAGGAAATAGTATTTTACAGCAGGAGAAATGTCTCAGAGTTTTTGCTTAATCAGTTCGTACGAACTGAAATTGGATAACAAGAGACAACTGCATTCATCAGAAAAATCGCTATCTCATTACAGCAGATAGTAGCTCGAATATTTTAACCAGTATAGCGCATTCTAAGCAAGTTAAAGTACGTTCTATATGTTACAAATTCTATCATATATTATTATGCTATCATACAATCTATCATATTCTGGTAGCACCTTATATCTTCTCCCAGCAGTCCAGGAGGGATCGACTCTATAAGCATTCAACGATATTCCTGGAGAAGATCAAACTCCTCAGGCAGCGGTCGAAACCACCGTAAAACCCTCTTCGTTAACAACGAATTCCATGAAAGAAATCGAATAAAGGAAGCGCTCAGACCCTCCAATATGTGATATCGGATCGTGTGTTAGGAAAGGATATTATGTGCGAAACAAGCACAACAATGCTGAAATATTTGGAAAACTCCGGACCGAAGGTGTTTGCGGTGGAGAACGAACGCGCTATTACCCTTGCCGGGGGCTAACGCGTTCACCACCACACCATGTGGGTCGTTCGTTGCGCCTGTGTCTCAGCTAGTTCTATCGATCAGTGCGACCAGTAATCACTCGTCAACGGGATTGGTCTGGGAAGCCCAAATCGGCAGTGAACGCAGTAAAGCTGAAGTTGTAGTCGAAATCACAGTGTTAACGTTTTCTATGTACTACCTATTACAACTTTAACAACCAAAAGTTAACACTCCTATTACAATATGTATTCTTCCTTTGATGAGCTTACACGAAGTTGATAATGATATTTATTTTCGGCTAACGTTTCGACGTCTTCGTCTTCCTCAGAGTCGATGATCCGAGTCGATGGTCCATGCTTGTTAATCGTCTCGACTTGGCAGCTTCGCCTTGGTGTCGAGTCAGGTCTTCTTCAGTGAGCCATCTCCTCGAATGAGGCATCCTCACTCAGTGATGCCCTTTTATACACGATGCTGATGGTCGATATAATGATAATGTGCGGTGATAACAACTTGTTTTTCTTCCGGACATTATCATCGCGCACATCGTGCAGAAGCCGGTGTTGTTATCAGCTAGCACAAAGCGTAGTAATATTTCGAAGGATATTTTTTTTTTCGAAGCTCATCAAAGGAAGAATACATACTGATTAGTGATACCGAGGTTCAAGGAAAGTCGGTTTCGAAATACTCCTATTACAATTTTAACAACCAAAAGTTAACACTATCATACTGTTTTTGTCGGTGGTCTAAACTACCGTACTTCACTAAGGCGCCTACAGCTTAATTTACCGTATAATTGGATTACACTTACTTCAAGTCACATAACAAAACCAGTTAAACATAATCGACATCGAATAACAATAAAAAAAATTCCCATTCTCAAAATAATAGCAATAACAGTTATTGCTTTAATAACTTTACGGTTCACAACTATCGTTAACCACCGCATAGCACTTTTAAACAAGAAATTATAACAACAGTAACGATGATAATACTAGTGATATGATCCTCTTGGACGGCCACCCAGACGATGCTCAGACATCTTCACGGCTTACACCAACCATCTGTATTCAAAAATGGGGAAGATTCTAGGACTACACAATGGATTTCTCCGACACCAGAGTGTTTAGAGCAAACCGCCATCATGGACGACGGTTGAGCGAAAGAGAAACGAATCGAAAACGATGTTAGGGCCCGCGGCGTACTGGTAAGCCATCTCCAGTCGATAGATAAGAATTATATGACCTATAGTGAGAAGTATAGACTGAACTACTGTCCAGAGAACACCAAGGATCTGGGTTATCCCATACTTCGATAAAATGATAACAAACATTTATCAGCCATTTGAACCATATTTTTCTAGTTATAACTGGAAAATGCCAGAAATACTCTTAAGAACCACACCGGATGAAGATATGGAAATATTTATATTCTTGACAAAACATGGCCTGATATTTGTCGTTACATCATACCAATTATATTCGTTCCATACATCACTACTTCACGTTACTACTATTAAAATAAATATGCTTCTCTAAGTGATTTAACTATGCCATCGCGACAACTTGATTTCCTTAGCTACTCAGCTGTGAAGCGCACCGCGAAATCATCTTCTGGTGAGGGTTCTCAAGCACAGAATGACTTCGACATCTCTACCCCGATGACCAGATCAGAGTAGATTAATTCCAGGTATCGTCATCGCACTGGAAGAAGGCCTAGGCACTAGGCAGGAAGTTTTCCTCGACTCCACAACGGCCAGTGAGTGCCTGTGATATCATTGTGTGTCCTGACAGGGTAGCAGATTTCAATGATTACAAAAAACTCCTCAACGATAAAAATAGCAGGATGGTGAAACTATTTTAGGGCTTAGACATCATAAACGATGACATGAATAAAATCAATAGTATAAATTTTACTATAGGCAGTAAAGCGCGCTTGTGGCGCAGTGGTGGGTAGCGCCTTGCAATACACATGGAATCGATTCCCACGACTGTGGCCCACCAAGCCTTTCATCGTTTCGGGGTCAGGAAACTGGTACCAGACTTGTCTTGGAGGATAGCAGCACTGGATCGATACATTGGTAGGTCACCGCGAGTCATTGTAAAGGCCAGATATGCATTCGGTCACCTCTAAACGTTCCTTAATGAATTCGAATGGATGGCGCATCCTTCAGGGACTGATCAACGCCGAGAGCTTTTATTCCCGATAGCTTTTCATTTTAT